AGATTTATTGATTTTTATCGACGATTACATATCATGAAGCGGTGTTAACTAGAAATTGATATGGAGTGTAATATAAATTGAAATTCCTCTTTGCTTCATCATGTATAGTATTAATATAATTCATTAAGATGTACCTACAATTACATTGTATTTTCGTATGTGGGAAATCATGGCAGGGTTATAAAATAAAAAGGTAGTTCCGAAATTTCACCTAATGATCACAGATGTTAAAAAATCCAACTTAATAATATCTAATTTGACAATTTAAACGGACTTAAATGCAGTATGATCTGACATCGGACATCATAAACTATTTAATTTCTAAGTAAGGTTATCAGAATTTCTTTTTCACCTCTTTTTAATGCTGAAATATTTGTGTGTGAATAAAAGAGTTATTCCTGATATAATTCATATTAATAACATAAACAAATTATATAATAAAGCTTGGCAAATACAATCGATTGCCGCCGATACCTGTGTTACACCATGGAAATTTACAATTTTACCATGACACCGCTTTCCAATATGGCCGCTTTCAATAATTTTCAACGATTAAAAAATTAAAGTGGAATATTTAGACTTCTGTTCGACTTTGAAGTATGATAATTTGGAACCTTGCATAAAAAACGATTTTCTTTCAGGTAATGTAGACCGTTTCTTTGAAACTTTTCTAGTTTTCGCTCCCAACAACTTCTAATTGGGAAGCGTCCGTGCATAAAAATGCAGTTCGTGGTTGGACTTGGAAAAAGACAGCGCCCGTCCAAAATTATCTCGGTGTCTCTTTGACAAGTCTAATAAGTTGGACTAACTTGAAGAATGCAGACATAAACTGGTAGGTTCGAACCCAATTTCACCGATTTATTTTTTTTATATTATTTCATTTTAAAATTGCCATTCTCTTTAAACTATTGCACACCTTTTATGTGTGTACTATCTATGTAGTATTTTAATATATGCCTTTATAGCGTGTATGTGCTAAAGCATACATGTATACAGTTGCATAATGTTACAAAAAGAACCGTTGAAAGAAAGATACGGTAATGAAATAAAAAATATATTTGTATATAAAACACCACTTAAGAGGTATTCTAAAACCAGACGTTCTGAATAAAACGATTTCAAATTAATTCTTGCAAGTAAATTATAAAAAAAATAACGTGGTGTTGGTAAGGAATCGAACCAGAGACCATCAGATTGGTAGTCCGACATCTATACCAATATACCACACCTCACTGACGAGTGAGGTTAGCAAATATATCGATATATTCGATAGATACAGGTCAGTATTTATTCATATGACCTTTACGAAAGTTAATGAAGTGCCAGGTCAATATTGTTGGACAATATAAAGATCGTTCAAAATATAAACAGATGACAAATATAAACATATTTTAAAATTAGACCAAATCGATTACGAAAGTTTAATATATCTAGTAAGGGTGGTTCCAAAATTAAAGTTTACTTTTGTGTTTTCTCTTTGATATAAGTAGTTAAGATTATTTTAGCTTGCCTGCCCCTCAAAGTACTCCCCCTCTACCCTAATGCACGTTTTTCAGCTGATCAATCCACTTTTTTGTATATCAGGAAATACAATGCTGACATTCTATCTCAGGCACAGTTTTTCCCGACAAACCTAACAACAAGTAGTTCTCAAAACAGCTTAAAACCAGCGATGTAAAAGGAAGAAATATTATTATTTTGTTACAAGTATCCATCAAATTACCACGCATTTAAAGTTTAAATAAAGTAAGGATGTTGACTCTAGGACAGGGACAAATTTAAGGCAGTCGACGATCGATAATCAATTTCCAATTTCTATCATTAGTAAAGCACCCGATAATTTAATCCACGTAAACAAAATGCTATTTTAGAGCTGTCGATTACCGAAGACTTGCGCTTATTACACAAATAAATCTGACTGTCGAGTAGTGAAATATATACATGTCGGACTGTTTGGGCGAGAAGATTTTCGCCAAATCATTAACATCCATGTTAAACAACATGTTTACCTAGAAAATAATAAGAATTACAAACTATTAATTGAAATTCTAAAGTTAGAATGGTATGGTTTTATTCAGACTTTATTTCATAAAACATCACCGTGGCGAGGAGTTACACGCTCGTTTACAATGTGAGAGGTCTGGAGTTCAAATCTCTGTCGTGGCAATTAATTTTTAGACGATGTTTTTTAAAGAATTAGGCAGGCTATACAAGGATCTAGAGTGGCTGTCATAAAGAAAAAAATAAACATAAATGATTTCATGATGCAAGTAGAAACTCTGGTAATGCAAAAGTTGGAAAACGTATCAAAATGAAAACTGTCATGGCAAAATATCTAAACGCACTCGCAGCAAATCGGTGCCCTGCAAGATGAATTATAGTATTTCAAAATAAACTGATACAGGAAAATACATACAGATATACAGTATGATTTTAGATTGCAAAGATCAGAAAATACCACAGAGCTCGCAGCCCTTTGATTGAAACAGTTTTCGTACTGTTTATTGGGTATACTCATAAGATACTGGTAAATGGCAGAGCCCAGAGCATTTCTTGACTTGTATCTTTTTTCTAGACAGGTGAAATTTTAGTTTGGGAAACAAGAAATAGTCACAGGGGGCTAGTTTTTCGTGAAAAAAGCGGTGTGGGTGAGGACAGTGACCTTTTCCGCTTTCAAAAACTGCGTTACAATTCATGCCTTGTGAGCTGGCGCATTGTCATGCAAGAGTATGAGATACTTCAAACATGTATGTGGGCGGCGGCGTTTATAGTTTTACTTAAGTTTGCGAAGTAAAACTTCTATATAGAACTTGCCTGTCACAGTTCTAACTTTCGGCACAGGAATTTGCACGACTGGCTCTTGTTATCAAAGAATATTACATACAAACGCTTTCTCACGGGTCGTATTCTTGTTAGCAATGCTAGAACGCCTTGCGTTTTGATGGCCCAGATTTGATAAGAGCATTTTCGTTTGGGTTTGAAAAAATACACCCATCTTTCTTCACCTGTGACCAAATTGCGAAAAGCCTTTTTGCTGAATTTCGGGTTTTTTTTTTTCAAAAATAAATTTGGCCTTTTCAACTCGGGACCTCTTTTGGTCGTCAGTTAGTAAATGTTGTATCCACCTAGCATTAATCTTAGCCCAAGATGTTTCTTCAAAATGCAATGAACACGTGCTAAAGGCAAGTTTGTCATTCCAGCTAACTGCCTGACAGTGTACCTTGCGTCTTTCTTCAGGATTTGTCGAATTCTTTCAATGTAATGTTTTGTCGTTGTTGTTGCAGGGTGGTCTGTGTGAGCAGCATCTTTCAGCTGCTAGTGTCCCGACTCAAATTCACCAACTTACCCACAAACAACAGTCATATACGCCATTTGACCCTCCTCATAAATAACACACCTGGCGATGAATATATCCGTCGGCTTTTCATGGAATGGCACTAACGTGTCACATTGAACGTTCCATGATGACCGCCATATGAACACATCTGCGGATGTTTCAAATTTCTAATCTTGACAAGTTCATGTTAAATGTTGAATTCTGCTTAAGCCGGTGCTAGGTGGCGTGGACGGCAGTTTGATAGTACCGCCCATGACCATGCTCAATCAAGCCAAGCCTACAACATTTTCAAATTTGCCGTGTTGGACTTTCTTTAAGGATTCTTATTTCCCTCTATTTAAGCCAAACAGAGACCTACCTTTGATATAGGACGTAATTTCATACACGTTTTCAGTTCACTTCCCAAACATATTTGTGTGTTTGTAACGAGCACTCTGCAAAACAATGTTCACAGTACCAAGGTTAGTGTAATTGTTAGCGATACCAATACTACTATTCAGGTATCACGCTATCGATATGTATAGGATTGGATTTGATTTTATATAGCACGATTACCACGAAATAGAACCCGAGTAACATTAATTTTTGAACACCCCTCGTACTAAGAAAACAAATAATTTCAGAAAAAAATTAAGTGAAGTAGACTTTTTAATATGATAAGGATTTTAAAGTCATACGAGACATAATAAACTATCAAATCAATACCATTACAATTTAAAACAATATCAAAAATACTAATTTATTGTTTTTAATTTCATTTTAAAAATAAAACTTTTATTCGTTCTCAAGGAATACTGAAAAGTGCTTTAAAGTTGAAATGTTGGACAGGATATATATATTTATTTATATTTAAAAGAAAACACAAGTAAGTATATAGTATTGTTTTTCACACATGGTTTTTGGTTAGTTATCTTATTTTTGAAGAAAAAATAATGTCGGAACTAACAACTTATTTTTGGATACGTTTTTACAACATACGTGATGAAAAGATGAAATTGTTAACATTCTTATATAATAAAGCAATGCACTAATATTTGTTTTGCTTCCATTCAATGATGCCTGGCTATGAAAAATATATTTTAACATATACTTGGCCCACAGGTTATATCTATTTTGATACAACATTTTTATATAGAACAGTTTTAATTATTTCGATTGATACAAAATAACCATGTACAAACTATCTTAAAATAATCGTTCATTAATTACAAGCATTAGCTTTTCCCAAAATGCTAAGAATCAGCCCGGTTTCGTGAATTACACTCCTTTCTGAGCAAAAGAGCAAATATATCTTCTTAACGAAAAACAGTCCGAATATTGTTTACCCCGTAAGAGCCTTCACACTGGTTTCGGGTTTCATGAAAACAAAATTCTATTTATAGGGCTAGGTATATTAAACCCGGAAAAAATGGCGGATGGTCTTGGTACGTCTGATAGGCTTCAGACAGTCTGTACATGAGTAAAACGATCACAATCGTAAGAAAATATATGTCCTTAAACATTAAACATTGACATCAACCAGGTGGACTTTTCGGAAATTTATGCATCTATTGATTTTGTCTAGTAGTAATATAGCTACCCGGTTTGTAGGCAGTGTACATGTTTACCGGATAAGTCAAAGAAAATGACGGGTAATGTTTACTTTTTATACATGATTTAATATAATTTATTAAGAAACTTAGAATAGAATTAATGATGCTGTATATCTTATGAATGACAAATGTATTAGATCAACATCTTTCCTCTGCTCTTTACAAAAGAAAAGAAAGACAAAAGGATTTTTCTTGCAGTCAAGATCGAATTTACCGCCATCTTAAACGTCGCAAAACTAATTTTAGGACCTTGTCACTGGAGATCTCTAACGCTTCTGGTTTACCTGGCCGATCCTTTATTATAAAAAAAGAAAAAAAGATACTTTAATGTAATATTTAATAATGGTTTCTCTATTATCATATAATAAATCAAATTTTAAAATTTATCGATTTAAGAAAAAAGACAACCGCTACCTAATCCTAACGTTTCCTTTCGAATAAACTTCCTTCATTTCATAACTCGAATAATCTTATGACTACGACGTTAAAGGACATAGGCTTAAGGTGATTCCAATTTTTGTCCGCTTGAAAACAAATTAGCGCGATACTGTACTTTTTTTCCCTGAGAGGACTATTTCTTGAATTCTATATGTGCTATTTGATAAAAATACAATGTTTAACTTACATTTTCAATCTTTTCCAAATAAACGTTATAATCTTTTCCTGTTTCTGGATATCTGTAATAAAGTAATATAGGTTTTATAAATGTTCATGTTCAAATAAAGAATTGAAATTCTTTCCAAGATTAGGTGAACATTTGAGAAATAAGCATTTTGCAGGCCTTAAATAAAAAAAACATTATTTCCATTATTTGAACAAGAGCACCACATGACTTAAAATTTCTTAAAGTAATCAATAATAATCATTAAATTAGCACAAATTTGATAGAAGGAAATGTTGAATGTATAAAGTTTGTAAGTGAGCCTCGGGGCCGGGCAATTATTGATCCGTGGAACATGATTTTTATCACTTTTATAGCAGTCCTGTTTTCCTTTTATTATAATTCTATTTAATTTAGTGGATTACGGGGAGTATCAATTTTAATCTGAGGATGGCCGAAAACACGTTCTGCACACTTTCTTGTCATTATTATTAACACATTTGTATTTCTGCCACATTGTTTTAATCTAATTTTATTGGCTCAAAAGATGCAGAGCGGTCGTGAATGTTTTCGATTCGTACAGAATTATAAATTGTGGCTTTAGCCTTGACCTAAGAATTACCAAACTTGTGCTCTGTGCATGGTCTCATTATGCAAAGAATTTTCGGCTCTTTAAGATACAGAACAGCAAAAAATTTCTAACAGACGGATGTGCGTGCCTTCTTTCTTAGTTGACGTTATGTAATTATATCTTTTATCTTCTTTGATCCCTAAAACCCTAAAGGAAACCACATTCATCCTTTAAGATTTTTTCATATGAAGAGAAGAGATGAATTCTACTTAAACAATGTTAAACCCACTGTGAATGCGGTTTCCTTCTTTTTATGACTCTAGATTATGAATGGAATGAAGCGCATTAATCATTCAATGATATCCCGGACGGACGTACGTCCAGGTGCAAAACGTTACATACAGAACATTTTTTCGGGCGTTTAAAAAACATTTAAATGGAATATATAGAAAATAGAGTACAAACGATTTCGATCTGTTTGCAACATATGTCTCTAATTTATCCCGAGTGGCACTCTTTTCGTCTGAAATAAGATAGAAAAAGTAAATAAAAGTAAACGCGTGAAGTGTTTTCGTGCTAACTTTAATGTTATATGAAAAGAAACTTACTCCTACTTAGGAGTTAAATAGAGCCTAATTAGGACTTTGTAGCCCTACTAAAAAAGTTATATAAGCGTAATTAGGGCTTTTGTAACTTCTTATGAGTCACAAAATTCTAAAGGGTCTTTTCTGCTTATCAAGTCGTTATTGAGATTTCGTTCAAATTATGCTTTTCAAAATACTGGTACCTTATTAGGACACACAAAGTCCTAATAAGGTTTCTAATTTGTTTCTTAATTGTGATATTATAATTAAGTTCTTGCTATTTTTTCTTTTCCCAAAAGGAATTCAAAATTTGGTTTGAATTTCTTATTATTTTTGTAAGTTATCTTTTATAGAACACTAAGGGTGGACTCTTTGGCGCTTTCATATAGTCTTAAGCAGTTTGAAAAAAAAACGTTAATAATGCTCGATCTTTGATTTCATTAATAATCCCAATCGTTCACATTAGCCAAACACGGACGTTTAAGTCGTGTTCATGTAGTCTGCAATTCTCTTGTAATTTTGTTGTGATTAATGCTTCCGATTTTTTTTCCAGATTTTTATAGAAAGAGCACCAAAACACGTGGCTATCAGATTTGTACGAGGGGCATAGTTTATCGTTTAACATAAAAACACGTTCACTGTTGTTACAATATGAAACCCCAGAAAAAAGTAACCAATGAACGAGCATCTGAATATGATATTTCTGTCGCTTCCCCTTTCTCTGCCGTCACAAAAAGTAAACCCCAGCAAAAATGAGCCATTTCATAGGCATGCTCTGTAGTGCAGGTAACTAATACCTATACTCTATGTAAAGCATTGTGCATGTATGTGTATATGATTTAACTCAACAGAAAGTTCCCCAAACTATGAAACCATAATGATTAAGAATTTGAGTATTTCATGAGGTTTTAAGTCCTTTCGATATGAAATATACTGAAAATGAGCTATCCATATCACCAAATGCAATTGTTATAGAAAAATTAAAACAAAAATGTTACCATCATCATTTACATTCTGACTTGCTATTTTAGCTCTTTTGGTGATTTCGCCCTGCAGAATGTAACACAATAGTATTAGCAAGCGTATGTGCAAAAGCCGTATCACATGACAATCAAAAATATTTAAAGGATATAAAGCTGCATCTCATATTTATTATAAATATTTATATATGTATAAAGGGTAAAATTATATTGTTTCCGTAATCTTATTTTAGATTCTCAAAAGATTTGAAATTTACCATGTTTCTGTTATTTAACAAACATGAACATTGTATGTAAACAGAAATAAACATGTTCCGGACAAAAATATCTTTCCATTGCAGTAGGGTGTAACTGTAAAGCATTGTGTGCATGCGTCATTAGCTCTTAAGTAACATGCCAAACATATTTATTTCTTTCATAACGGTTATTTTGAATAATTCTTTGTCAACAAACAATATCTAAGTACAAACCGGAAGAAGTATATGAATAACTCTAAATGAGTACTAAATGCCAAACACAAATAAAGTGATATTCGCTTATATAGTATTACTAAACTTTTATGGAATATATAATATTACGCAGAACGAATTTCCTTTGAATAATATCGTAAAAACAAAGTCAATAAAATACAACTTGCAATCAGTCTATAGTTTCTGATAAGCTGTAATGGAAGAGATTCAACTTCTTTTAAATCTAATGATATTTCTTTAAATATTAAAATTAAAACAATTAAACTCCATTTTTGCCAAGTGTTGCGTTGACTTGGTAAAATAACACTTTTGAACTTACATTTTCAGCACTGTCTACTATGAATCTACTGCGATTTGGCAATGCTAAAGAAATAATTAAAGTATATGTCAGCATGATACACTATAACATTTGACTTTACACAGTTTGGAGAATGTCTTTATTCTATTGTTATAAATGATTTTTATAAGTTTAAAGTAATTATGTCAGCATGATACACTATAGAATTTGACTATACACAGTTTGGAGAATGTCTTAATTCTATTGTTAAAAATGATTTTCATAAGTTTTAAGTAATTAAACACATAATTATGAAATAAATTACCAAGTTGTTCCGTTGTGATGAATATGACACGTTGTAAATGTTCAATATCAATGGTTTTTTCTAAAGTGATAGTTTCACCAATGCTGTGTGTAAGAATCTCTGACATCTTGTTTAAATATTTTGAGGCTCCCCCTTCTTCAAACATTGTCAAAGCATGCTGAAGACCTTCGATTCCTGTACATTTCATATTGAACCAAACAGTTCCTTCGTGCGTTTGGCATTCTTCCGATGTAACGAGATAGAAGAGAAATATATTTAATTGATGTTAACATATTTCATGGCTTAATATAGATTAATATACACGACAAATTATGTCCATACATAGATAAATTTTTCTTCTACACACACACATATATATATATATATATATATATATATATATATATATATATATATATATATATATATATATATATATATATATATATATATATATATATAGAAAATTAGTTTCCTATAATGAGTGAGTATGATTATACTAGTAAGATATTATGTCTATCGTAATGGAATAGGATTTAATTCAATACATACTCATCTGCCTTAATGCTTCAAACAGCGAGTCACGAAGAATGTATGCAGTTAGATTAATCTTTTCTCCCAATATGTTTTGCAGGTTTTGGGATAAATCTTGCAGGTGGGTTTTCAGGCGCGTACTTTCAAAAAACTCTATAAGTTTTAATAAAGCATGGGCAGAATGACTTTCAAATGTCAATATTATAGAGCCCCGATCTCCTCTGGTTAAATTCACCCCAGTTTCTTCAATGTCTTCTTTGAGTTTGTTGAAATTTTCAGTAAGCTCTTTGTTTGCTGTTACTTCAGTTCCGTCGGTGCTTTGATTTGATGCTGCAAGGAGCTGAGCTTCAGCTTTTTCAACAATGTTCTGTGTCCTGGCATAGACATGAACAGCTCCATACACCGCTAAAAGTTAAAGCACGGTACAATGACAACTTCAATTTATGCGTATATTTATAATTTCAAAGTGTTAAAGCAATTTAATTTCTCTTACATCTAAATATGAAAGTGTAAAGCATGATTTAAAAGATTAACTCCATTCATTTAAAAAAAAACATGTGCCTATAAACGATTCAATTTAATACATGTTCTATACGATAGTGCATCAATAAATTCGTAAACTAATTCAATAGCGTCAAAACTACTGGTCCGTTTAAAATGAAACTTTAAATGTTGTGAAAACAGATTATTTCAAATTGAATCGTACTATGTACACAATTTTGACGTCATCACCTATGACGTCACGTAAATGACGTCACGTTACGGACGTCCGTTCGAAAATGGCGTCACACAGCGTCAAAGAACAGCGCATCTTTATAAAGTTTTACATAAAACTCGTAATATAATGACTTACTGTTCACAATTTTTGCATGCTTTTGCTCACTTGTTTCTTCCTTTCTTGAAACTATCAAAGTTTTCAAGGCGTCTTTTATTTCAGTTAAATCCTGTTTGATAATATGCAGATTCGTGCCAAGAACATCTGCAAACAAAAACTAACAATACACAAACCATTCCTTATGTAAAAAAGTTTTAAAGACGTACCAACGAAACCATTTTCAAATTTGAAACGACCTTTTCCTGTTTCAAAATACTTTTTTTCTAACAAAACAGACATAAAGAAATTCTAAAAAATAGCAATTCCGGTTGAAGTTTATGAGTGTTCTGCACTTTAAATTCTTATGGTCAGTTAATTCATGACATAAATATAGGAAATCTGCCAATAGAAAGACGGTCTGTAAGATTACAATTTAAAAACCATTTAAAATTTCAATTTGTGCCAGATTATTTCAAAATTCCTTGGTGGACCAACCATATGGACTTAACACAAAATAAACAGTTCATCAGACAATATCGACTTTGGGCCTTGACCTTGGAAGTATATAGGTAAACATTTGTGCTTACTTATTTTAAAATCCCTTGGTGAATGGCTGAGTTATGGTCCAGACACAAGTGTGACAGAAGGACAGACAGATGTACATGTATAAGTCTATAACTTTTTATCAAGATATTTCTATATTTCCTTTTTTTTCTATTCCCCTTTTTGAAAGTCAGAGGGCAAAATTTTCCAACAATAAATTATGTCAGTTTACTAAGACATAGTGAGTACCGAAAGTTTAATTATTAGTATGTTACTATTGCATTGGTTATGTTAATTATCAGGTTGTTTTGTATCATACTTACTGTTGAGACATTGTTTTATGTTATTAATAAAGTCGTCTGAATTGTTCAGTTTCCTTATTTCCATAGTTGCAGAATTAATGTCCAGCTTTGCACTGCATAGTTTACTTATCAGATTGTCGTTCTTTTCTTTTTCAGACTTCGGCATCTTTGCGCCCATTGTTGTCATTATCAATGAAAGTTCACTCCATAGCGAATAATACGTATTTCTGTCAATACAAGCTTTAGCGTAATGTGCGTAGAAATCATTCCGCATTTCTCTTATTTTCTTGACAGCAAGCTGCTCCGGAGTATTCAATTCTTGCTTAAAATACTCTATTAAAATGAAACATAGGAGTTGTATATCCCATTCCCTTATGTCTGAAGTCTTCGGTGACTCTGGATACAAAACTTCCATCTGCTCTCGTTTGACGTATTGTGATGCTTGAATTGAATTTTGATAGGACCTGAGAAAATGTTCAAGGGTTATTTTCTTTTTCTCTAAACACATGACCATTAAGTTTCTAAGAACACGCGTTCCACCTTTGATAAGGAGAAGAACGAAGCGAATGTAATACGCAGTTTCAACGTTCATACCACTGCAACTGACCTGTTTAAAAAAGAAAATATTATTTTTTCATAAAACGAAATTTTGTTAGTTTTGTTTTATCAAATTGTGAAATTATTTTTGAAATTTATTAGTCAATTTTGACTCATTAAAGTCTGTTTGTTTCTTTGTTTGTTTGTTTTTGTTTATTAGCTATTAGAACACACCTATATTGTAAAAGTCAAATGGCGATTCCTCAGCTTTATATGTAGGGGAAGATTTGTGGTGTCCGTCCTTGCTTTAAATACCGCACTGGAGCAGAACAATAAATGTACAATTGTTTTTTAAACCTCATAGAGTTTAATTATTATAAGCACATATATGAATAGAATATAAGTTGTTATCCCATTACAAAAACCTGTTGCTTGTGTGACATCTGTTTCGCACATTTGCTTACTGATTTTTCATTTTACATGAGAAAATGTGAAGATAAAAGAAACAGAAGAATGGAACGCCATGTCTGTCTAATGTGATCAATCTGTTTGCTATCTTGTGAAACGATGATATTATTTTGCCGTTTAAGCGTGTTAACATGTGTAATTTACACCATGTCTTGTCAAAGGACCATGCTGACTTGTCAAACAGCATGTTAACTTGTCAAATTATCATGACATGTGCAGACAACATGTTAATTTTTCAAAGTACCGCGATGACTTGTGCAAACAACATGTCAACATGTTAAAGAATCGTGATGGCATGTGCAAAGGACATGTTAACTTGTCTAGATTTAATGATGACATGTGCAAACAGCACCTTAATTTGCCGAATTATCGTGATGACATGTGCATAACTTTGACAAGTTAACATATTGTTTGCACAAGTCATCATAATAACATGCTGTTTGCATATGTCATTATGAAATTTTGACAAGTAAACATGTCTTTTTGCACATATCACGATACTTGGACAAGTTAACATGGCGTTTGCACAAGTCATCATTATACTTTGACAAGTTAACATGGCGTTTGCACAAGTCATCATTATAATTTGACAAGTTAATATGTTGTTTACACAAGTCATAACGATACTTTGGCAAGTCACCATGCTGTCTGCGCATGCCATCATGATAATTTGACAAGTTAACATGCTGTTTGGACAAGTCAGTATGACCATTTGACAAGACATGGTGTAAATTGCACATGTCGGCATTCACAAACGACAAAATAATATCACCGTTTCACAAGATAGCAAAAACATTGATCACATAAGACAGTCACGGCGTTCCATATAGAAGTATCGGTATCTCGATCTATATGCTATCTAAACAAAGGAAGTTTTATTTACAGCAAAAGTGTTTTTTTACCTCATGAGCTTGATAATTGGTCTCTAACAATTCACTGTATGATGCACACTCACTATTCGATCTGCTGAAAATTAGCGCATAACTGATATTAGAAATGAGATGTTATTAGAACAATACAAGAACAAGTGAAATTCATATATTTAATGATTTATAATCTTTAAATTGCAGAAATTATTTTTTATAGATAACATTCATCATATTGATCAAATGTTTAACTATAAATGCATACCTATTTCCTACATCATCGCCTGGACGTGCTGATAAATCAACCTGTGTATGGGTTTGCGTTTTTGTATTGACACAATGCCTGCGGGAGCATCGATGGCATAACAGTAACCCACAGTCAACACATCTTTTCAACGCATCTATAGTCTTTTCCCGTTTTATACATAATTCACAGTTGATATGTATTTCTAACGAAACCCCTTCCTCGACAGAAACGAGATTGTGGTTTTGTAATTCAGGAATTACGAAATGATCTTCCTTGCACTCTGTACAGTAATATTGTTTACACTGCTTACAAAACACAGATGCAATCACTTCATCGTCACAAGCCAAACACAACAAACAATTTCGTAATTTTGCCATTGTAAATATTTGCCAACGTCACGAATATTTAACGACAGTCATGTTGCAATACCTACAAATACAAACTATTGATTATTAGAATATGAAACTTTAAATTTTGAAATCAAGAGTGGCAATTCATTTGTGTTCATTTTGTACCGGGAGATGAGTTTAAAGATTGATGAATGCGAAGATATTAGAATCATTTTAAATACTTGCTAAGATATAATTGCATTTTCACAGACAAATTATCTATTTGAAAATCGTTGTAAGTCAAATATTTATTGTGTTGATGATTGTATTACACATTTAAAGTAGTTCACTAAATGAAAAACATATTGAAATATTACAAAACTCCAAATCTGTGACATAAAAGAAAAGGTATCAACTTTCAAATAATTAAACAAAAGCATACATTTCATTATTTATTTATTTTTGTCAAAAGATAGATCCATAGTTATTCTTCTATATGTTCCTTAATTTGAAAACGATAACTAGAAGTACAAATAACCAAAACATGTAACATATGTAATTAAAGAAATGTGGATTGTCCACAAAATCATACATTTGTTTTTATAATGCATTTGTTGTGCATATATACATTATATACGGTATAGAGTAGAATGCCCTTGACCTACATATACCTACCTATTGACGAGTAAAATAAATAACACACACAAAATAGTTGAAACGTTTATTTGTTTGGGTTTAACGTCACACCGACACATGTATATGTCATATGGCGACGTTCCAGCTTCACTGGTGGAGGGACAAACGGGAACGTGAGTAGAACCACTGATAATAGTAGAAATTATAGCATGGATTAAGCCTGAAAACGGGAAAAACTTCAGAATGATCCCATCCGGACTTTCTAAGATGTAACCACTGGAACATTAAAATAAATTCCAAGAAGGTTCCCATCATGATTTCTTATAGAGTGTGGGAATAATAATTTCTTGCATATCAGACTGGCGTTTCCGTGAGTTTTACCCATGCCGGAAATTTCATCTGGCATGGGGGTGCCAGATGAGTCGCGTGCCAAACAACAACATCATTTTACCGCACTTTATGAATGAACCGCGTGAAAATGACGTCATTTAGAAGGGAAATATGTGCTTAGGATGACGTCATTTCACCGTTGTTATTTAAGTTGTAAGTTCATACGCTATGGTAAGAAAATAGTTATGGATGAAATGACTTTATTTCGATGAACATATATCATATTGAGGTAAGGCATTTTAAATATACAGATATTAATCTGTCATATGTTGCGGTTCGGACCGGAATATCCGTCCCGAGGGGACCCGCCCATTGGGCGGTAACGAGGCTTGCCGAGTTACCGCCCATGGGCGGGTTCCCGAGGGACGGATATTCCGATCCGAACCGCAAACATATGAAAGATATTTTTTCTTGCATATTCTGCCATATTATTTCATATTTAAAATGGTTTACCTCAATATGATATATGTTCATGGAAATTAAAGTCATTTCATCCATAACTATTTTCTTACAATAGCGTATGAACTTACAACTTAAATAACAACGGCGAAATGACGTCATCCTAAGACATATTTCCCTTTTAAAACGACGTCATTTTAACGCGGTTCATTCATAAATGGCGCTAAAATGACGTTGTTGTTTGGCATGCGACTCATCTGGCACCCCCATGCCAGATGAAATTTCCGGCATGGGTAAAATTCACGAAAATGCCAGTCTGCCATGCAAGAAAAGTCCGAGTGGGGGTATTCAACTGTTAAAAAATCATAGCCATTCTTTGGTGCATTTCAATATATTTTGATTTATAATACTAAAATCAAATTTTATCCCGACAAAAATGCACAATGCACGATGACGTCATATCCAGCATCAAAATAAGTCTTATGTAAATATATAATATGAAAGTCAGATAAAAAAAAACCAGAAAAATAAAGGGATCTACCCGGACAATTTTGATATATTAACTTATTTTAGTTTTGTTAAATTTAAACGTGTTGCACGATAAACATTTTATCTAATCTGTTGTATTACAGTTGAATTATGCCCTTTTAGAAATAGACGTGTAATCTATATCCGTGCAAGCTAAAGTGGGCCATATCTAAGGACGTTTATAGCAGCTCAGCCCAAATTTATTGTGAAACTTCAAAGGTTGATTTGTCAAACACTATCAAATAAAGCATATGCATTTTCTAACTTTGTCTTTTGGTAGTTCAACTTTATGACAAGTAATAATCATTTATATTAGTGCATTCAGCAGGAACATTATAATGTATACAGATAAAAACCATAACTTGAATAATGTTTTATGACACAAATTTATGACAAGTTCAGACAAAAATCAAAACATTAGATAGATGAATAAGCAGATTCGAATAGGTAAAAAATTAATTTTTATAGCATAACAATATCGTATACAGATAAGTATCGAAAACATTCCGTTCGGTCTATGAAATTTTATGTACAGAAAATATTCAACGGTTTAATTGAAAGCAAACGTAGATTTGAGTATGAGTAAAGATAGTCCGCTTTAAAGAAAATATTCTCACATGATATATGTTGTGTCTGTTAAACTTCAAGTCGAGGAGAAAACGAATTAGAAATAAAGGTTCCATATTTGAAAATTAACTAACATGTGTTCAAGTCGATAGACCTGTAAAACAATTGATAATGAATAGAAATTATCTGATCGCACCACTGCCTTTTTAAGGTAGAAGTATACCAAATCTGAATATATGTATTTACATGTATTAGTGACGGATTTTCAGAAAACAAATATAACAGTTTCTTTGTCAAAATACTTTATGTAGACATGGAAAATATACAATATGAAGTATGTATTGAGAATGCTTAGTTTAGAAAGTCGAAATGTACATTAAAACATTTATAATAGATAGATGAAAGAAAAAGAAGGTAAAATATGCCAAAAGTAGTTTTATTTCGTACACACTACATTGTAACTATATATTTACAAGGCGGCGTCCGTTGCCGAGTGGTTAAGGTCGTTGACTTCAAACCACTTGCCCCTCAAGTTTTTTTGGTTATTAAATTGGTTTTTGCTTCAGAGTTTCTAATAGCAACGTTATTTAAACGCTTTTCTTGTCGGTTGAAAAAAAAAACTGTCATTAAAACTACCGTTTGCACAAACATTTTGAGAATAACAATTTTGAAAACGCTGATAAAGTATGTTTGTGTTTATTTTCTTTCTTTTTATATTTTCAAGCGAAATACAAAGTATTTATAGTCAACGAAAAGTGATATTCAACCGTTTTGCAACATTGAAATAGCGAATTTTTTACCGTTTTTGCACGCGCTGTTTGGCGCTGCATTGTTACGTCACGTTAACAACACTTCAAACGTCTATACAGCGTTAATGGCTGAATAAAAGATATTGGTGTTCGGGTTTATTTTCTTTGTCAGACCATTTTCTATCATTCTAGATAGTTGTCAGAGCGAAATATAACAAAGAGTTGTTTTTATTTATCAGATTTTTAAACAAAATAGCGTCGCCAATTGCAAATACGGAGGGAGGAAATAAGAACGGCGAGTGTACCTACTGTGAAATGTATCACGCTTTCGGCCTTCTTTGATTATATAAGGGAAATATCCGATAATGCTCGACTGATCGAAATTCCTCCCGAGGCGTGCACGTCTGGCGGACCCCAAACAAAAACAGGACATGGCACAAGGCAGAGCATGGACAGGCTAATCACTAAAATGATGAATAATTTGTAACTGATAAGGAATTCAGTGTTCGAATGATGTGTAAAACTTTTTCAAGGGAGATGTAATCCTTAAACTTGATAAGACACTCCTCGTAACCTGACCTCGTCACGCAAAGTACACATGATCAATATACGCATTACCGACTTTATGAAAGGGTGTTCATTTCTTTCTTTGTCAAATTGAAATAAGTATGCTAAACATGCTTTAAACCAATGTGCGAGAGAGGATTTTTTTACTTGAATACATATTTTTTTGTATTTTATATGGTGTTTGTTATCGGAGAAATTCAAACTTTGTATACATGGTTGTAGTGGTAATTTTGCATCAAAGGTGTGTCGTACATTTCATTGAATTCATGCCATGTGCTTTTTGTAGCAACTTATTCAAATAACAGGACACGAAGTGGTTAAGATGTCGACTGCCCTTGGTGCCTAAGACGAAATAAGTAATTTATTTATATATTTGTTTTCTTTATGTAAGCGACTTGTCAGCCATTATATAAAGCTATAAATTTCTTTAGCAATTTAATATTCTATACTTACGAATAGTGGCAAAAGAATTTATTTTACAGAATTAACAAGATTTGGCATTTTTTGTAAAAATAATTATCATTTGCCTCAAATAACTTTCTCCATCTATTTATCCTCTTTTTAAATTTGTTATCTTTATCACACTCTTTGTTTATGTGTTATACATTTTTGTATCATGTTACTGGTTTATATTTTTGTCAGATGCCATTGTTTATGTTTATGCTTTTTGTCAGATGTCATTATATTAATGACATATATTTATTGATGTTTGCAATAAAATTTATTGTAAACGTGTTACATGCAGATGGTTCTAACATTTTGATGCTTGTAACTGAGAGTCATAAAAAACAAAATTGAATTGATAAACAGTAAATTGATTAACAAAATGAGTTGCCATTTTAAAAATGAAATTGATAAAAAGTAAGATATGATTTTTCTATTGGTTCCTCCTATCCTGAACGGAAGAAAGCACAAATAATGGGATACCTCAATGACAACTCTATACATGTGTCTTGCTATCCAAATGCTCTATACATTTGTTATAATTTAACAATTAAAGTATTCTAATTCATTTGGCAGGTACTTTAAACTGAAAACCATAGACATTACACAACAATACTGAAGTTAAGCTGTCACGAAAATGCAATTGTGATATATAGAATTAAGCTAAGTTAATTTCCTATGTTGACATATAATTAGAAATCATTATGACTAAAAGGGTGTTCATGTACGAGTTGATATTTGTGTTTAGATTTCATGATGGCCGTGAGACCAAGAAATACAGATGAGTTTCATTCACAAGATCAACCAAACAGATATGTTTTTGTGACGCGTGCTTAGTGGATGATGCCAAAAGAAAAGCGGTTGCATACTGTCTGATGTGTGAAGAACTTCTTTGTTTAGATTGTGCGCACTATCACAGGAAAATGAAGGTGTCAATGGAACATGTATTAAAAGAAATGATTGACCTGGTACCAGAGGTATTGTCATATTTTATTAGTACATTTCAAACGAAGAAATTGCAATGATGTGTTATATACAGATTGACACGGTTATTTTTACAGATATGTGCACTCATATGTGTCAAGAATTTGTTATGAGCAGTTTATTTTCTTTACCAAAACCTACGAGGTATGATCAAAAAGTTCTCGGCCCGATGTACTTCTAGTCACTATACTGACATTTACACACTATACGTCGATACCGATATCTTATTGAAGATTACTGACCGAGTTACACACGGTTTTATACAGATTAAGTAACATTAAACACACTTTGATCAGTAGAGGGGTGTGTAATTTAGACCAAATGGAGAAAGTTTAAATCAGAGCCGTCATTAAGTACCTCTGTAAGAAAACGAAGACCTCACATGGATATACTTGGGAAGGAGTCCCCTTCCTATAGCACTGTGAAAAAATGGGCTGTTGAATTTAAGAGGGGCAAGGAAAGCATTGGAGATGATGAGCGACCTGTGCGGCCAAAAGAGGCCACCAACGATGAAACTGCCGGAGCTGTGCACGCTCTGGTTATGTGCGACAGATAGCGAGACCTGCTAAGCATTGCTAGGAAAGTGAGTTTAAGCTTTGGTTCAGTTCAGGCAATTCTGACTGATGTCTATGGCATGTCAAAGGTTTTAGCTAGATGGGTCCCCAGACAGTTGAATGACGATCAGAAAGGGACCAGGCTTGACATTTCAAGATATATTTTGTCTCGCTACGAGGATGAACCTGATTTAATTTACCGGATCGTAACACATGATGAATCTTTGGTCCATCACTTCGATCCAGAATAAAAAAAACAGAGCATGCAGTGAAAGTACCCTGGCTCACCCATCCGAAGAAATTCAAGAGGGTGCCATCAGCTGGGAAGATAATGGCTTCAATTTTTTAAGATTGTCAGGGGATAATCATAATTTACTATCTTGAGCAAGGTCGTTCCATAACGGGACGTACTATGCAGACGATTTCAGACGTCTGTGTCAAGAAATCGCGCGTAAAAGGAGGGGCAAACTGACTCAAGGCGTTCTGCTTCTGCACGACAATGCCCCAGCTCACACATCCCAAGTTGCATTTGCTGCTGCAACTGACTGCGGCTTTGAAATTTTTTCCCATCTCCCATATTCTCCGGACTTGGGCCCCTCTGACTTCTACCTGTTTCCGAAACTGAAAATCAAGCTTCGTGGTAGAGGTTTTGGAAGGAATGAAGGTGTCATGGAGGCTGCCAATTAGTTCTTCAAGGAACAAAATAGAGAATTCTATTTTCATGGTTTTGAAGGGTTGAACAAGTTAGAGCACAGGTGGGCAAAGTGCATTGATATAGAGGGCGATTATATCGAAAAGTTAGGCCATTAGATTGGTTCTCTGACTACCGGAAGTACATCGGGCCAAGAACTTTTTGATTAATCCTCGTACCTATCACTCACAACATCCAAATATAATTCTTCGTTGGTTTGCTTGCACGTCTTGCAAGAGGCTGGAAATTAACAGAACGTAAATTACCTGTTCATTAAATGATAACAGGCGTATCTTCATCTGATTGAAGTTAAAATTAAAAACGACATATTTTTATGAATATTTACACTATTTACTTAAACAGAAAAGGGAACAGAAATGTTTCGTGAAATTCCATTAAATTTCGTATTGAGTCGCATAATATTATGAAATGAATTAACCGAAAGTAAACAAAGGAATGTTTTAGATGTTATATTATTATTATTTGCTCGTGAAATAACTTACAATAGCGAATAAATACATACTTAATGGCAAGATTTCCATTTCAAGCTTTTTGCAATACATTTCATTAGATATATCCTAACTTCAAAAGATTACGACAATCATGAAAAATGAAACACTTGACTGTTTTTCATTTAAGCATTGTATTATTTATACATGTAGTTTACGAATTAAACATTTTGTAAGCATTCAGACTAAAATGAAGAAAATGACATTGAACTTTAGTTAGATGCATCTAATGCTCATTTAACGCAAACACATATTGAAAATGTAAGACTGTGCACTAAATCCTATTACTATTAAAATATATTATGAATAAAAATAACTATTTTATGTTTTACCTTTCAATTTTGAAGTAGATAAGTAAAACATAAGTCATAATTGTACTAAACATGATTTTTTTTAGACATATCTTATTATATATACTACAAAATAAATTTAATATGCGTATGTACGTATAACATTGAGACAACATTCATAATTAAGACATCAACAAATAAACTCATGTATGTACATATTTATCTTAGAATCACCCTGGAAAAACCTTTGGCAGGAAAATTTGATCATGATTCAATACTACTGATATAGGAGCCGCCACCCAAGTTAAAAGAAGAAGATTACTACCAGATAACGTTCAAGGATGTCAGCAAGAACAGAAAATGGAAAGTTGATGAATGTGAATACACCGTACCAGTTGCCACAATTTCTGGTCTGCAGCCGAATACGATATATATATTTCGTGTGAAAGTTATACATGAAGATGGTGAAAGTGAGGAAATTCAAACACTACCTTCACTTGCATTAAGCCTAACAGAGACTTTGATTCCCAAGCAGACGATAGGATCATTATCTATATATTCGTTGCCCTTTACTGAAATGAAAGCAGTGGAAAATAGCAGGGCCCGTGCAAAAAGATATACTTTTGGTAAGACTCTTATTTGAAATACATGCCAAACGAAGACAGTAAAATGAAAGTAAGGACAACAAAATAATATTAACATATACCAGCAAACCCTAACTACACTTGATGTACAGTTATATTTATTTTGATATTCAAATCAAAGGCAACTCTGTTTTGTATTATATGTTCATAAAAGATTCATTAAGCCCCATATTAAAATACCACAAATCTATCCCACCATTTTTTTCTTCTTTTGTTTTACTTCTTTGACATTAGTAAATTTGTAGTGAAAAAGTATTGTGTTGGAAAACACAATATGTTTTGCAGTTCTTTTATAAGAAATTCAATTTGAAGCTAAATGTTACTTAAACTATTAGATTTCATATAGTATTACACTCTTCATCAATTTTTTTCTATCACATTGTAGGAAATCCACATTCAGACGGATATGTTGAATCAAAAACAATACTTTTAGTTGGTGCAACTGGAACAGGAAAGAGTACGTTTGTAGATGGTATCGTAAACTATATTTTAGGTGTAACATGGGAAGATCCGTTCAGATTTACGGTGGCCAATGTAGAGGATGAGAAAAATGTGAACGAGGTAGTTTTTCTATTGAAAATGTAGTGATAGCATGAACATGAAGTATATTTTTTCACAATATTTGAAATCCACTTATAAGTATACTGAGCTAAAATGGAAATTTGGCACTGATATTTTTAATGCAAAAGTTGTACTTTGGTGAATTTCTTGAAAGTGTTGTCAAGTGCATTTTATGACGGTGTAGCCCTGCAAGATGACAAACAAGAAAAATGCACGTGCTCACCCAAAATTATGTTGACATCCTAGGTGAAGTTAAGTGTTTTTACAGTCTAAAAAATACACTTCCTTCCACATGCAAAAACTGCTCTTGATGACATCTGTGCATATGTAAGTATCCTACGAGCAAATCTGCTTAATTCAATGCGAAATGCAATGACTGTCACCGTCCCGAAGAATAAGTTAACAACCAACGTTCGCTAGACAGTCTTTCAAAAAGTCCATGTTTTCCCAATTCCTAGTCGTTTTTTTAAATGTTTACACACCTGTCAACAATTATTTATTGTCTGTAACACACCTCAAATAAGTGTTCTTTATTAATAATAGATGTTAATGACTAACAAATTCAAATGAAATCCCTCTGAATCAAACACATTTTTTTCGTCACGTGAAACACACACATAGTCAAATATAAACTTCCGCCGAAAATGACGGAAATAATCTCGGCATGGTTTCACTTTTTCTTGTTCTAGAATTTGTTTTAATTATTTAAACAAGCGACCATTCATATTTTTTAATAAAAAAATATCATCACCATTTAACTTATGTTTTTAGTTCAATGAGAAATTCGTCTGAACTTGAGGGCTACCAGTGGGGAAAACAGATTTGATATTAAGGATAAAATAAAAAGGAAAAGTGTTTGTTTGTTGTGTAAGATGATTATTTTATATCATCTCGTGATCTTAAAAAAAACTAAACTGTATTCTCGCTCACTCAGGAGCGTAAAGTGTGTCGTCACACTGAGTTGATTAGGCAATACGAGTAGGTCATCGTCGATTTGTTATTGCAACTTCCAACAATTGTACCGCTGGGCGGAGCCTTATATGCCCGAAAGTGATTTTTTTAGTAAAGATGAAGCATTTGTAAGACATTGGAATTAAATAAAGTATTACCTCCTTCAAATAACAATCATCCTATGAAGTTTGAATATTGTGGGCCAAATGGAACTTAAGTTATGCCCCGGAAACTTTTTTCAGTTTTGAAGTAATAGTGACCATGACCTTTGACCTTGTGACCCCAAAATCAATAGGGTCCTCTACCCAATATGGACAATCATCCAATGAAGTTTGAACACTGTGGGCCAAATGAAACTAAAGTTATGTTCCGAAAACTGTTTTCAGTTTTAAGGTAATAGTGACCTTGACCTTTGACCTTGTGACCCCAAAATCAATAGGGGTCTTCTACCTAATGTGGACAATCATCCTATGAAGTTTGAATATTGTGGGCCAAATGGAACTTACGTTATACCCCGGAAACTTTTTTCAGTTTTGAAGTAATAGTGACCATGACCTTTGACCTTGTGACCCCAAAATCAATATGGGTCCTCTACCCAATATGGACAATCATCTACAAAGTTTTAACACTGTGGGCCAAATGAAACTTAAGTTATGTTCCGAAAACTGTTTTCAGTTTTAAGGTAATAGTGACTTTGACCTTTGACCTTGTGACCCAAAAATCAATAGGGGTTTTCTACCAAATATTGACAATTGTCCTATGTAGTTTGAATATTGTGGGCCAAATGGAACTTAAGTTATGCTCAAGAAACTGTTTTAAATTTCAAAGTAATAGTGACCTTGACCTTTGACCTTGTGACTCCAAAATCAATAGGGGTCTTCTACCCAATATAGACAATCATCCTTTGATGTTTGAATACTGTGGGCCAAATGGAATTTTAAATTATGCCCTGGAAACTGTTTTCAGTTTTAAGGTAATAGTGACCTTGACCTTTGACCTTGTGACCCCAAAATCAATAGGGGTCTTTTACCCAATATGGACAATTATCCTATGAAGTTTGAATACTGTGGGCTAAATTGGACTTAAGTTATGCTTCAGAAACTGTTTTCAGTTTTAAGGTCATAGTGTCATTGACCTTTGACCTTGTGACCCCAAAATCAATAGGGTTCTTTTATCCAATATGGACAATCATCCTATGAAGTTTGAACACTTTGGGCCAAATGGGATTTTAGTTATGCGCCGGAAACTGTTTTCAGTTTTAAGGTCAAAGTGACCTTTAAACTTGTGACCCCAAAATCAATAGGGGTCTTCTACCCAATATGGACAATCATCCTATGAAGTTTAAACACTGTGGGCCAAATGGGACTTTAAGTTATGCTCCTGAAACTGTTTTCAGTTTTAAGGTCATAGTGACCTTGACCTTTGACCTTGTGACCCCAAAATCAATAGGGGTATTCTACCTAATATGGACAATCATCCTATGAAGTTTGAATATTGTGGGCCAAATGGAACTTAAGTTATGCTCCGGAAACCAAATTGCTAATGGATAGACGGACGGACGGACGCCAGGGAGTATAACATAAAATGCCCGAATTTCATTCGGGCATATAAAAAGAGGACACTGTTTGCTGAAAGTATAACAGCACAAACTGTCAGAATTTTTTTTTTTTTATTTTAACACTTCTTTATCGCGGAAACAGACTTTTTTATCACAAGTTTCTTAAGGTTTAATCAAAGGCAGTGGAATGTGATTGTCTTAAGTGAAGAGAGGCGATTCACCTTGAGATTTACTAATGGTTTGTTCCGTCTGTATCGCAGGCGAGTTGAACGTCACACACAAGTCTGATTTGACCGATTTGGTGTTGACAGTGTCAGGGTTTGAGGCTGATTTATGCCTTCATATTTCTTCTTACAGGGAACTTAACTGCTGTCCAGTATAGGTATCAGATTTTGCAACCAGTGCTGCTCCCGTTTATTCAGGGACATAGCCCTTGACTCAATCAACTATTACGCACATTTTTCTGTGAAATGCCGTCGCAAAGCTTAATCCGATCGAACACATCTAAACACCTAAGTTGAGCTAGGCTGACGTATTCATCAACGTGTCAATCCACAAAAGACGTTGCAAGCTCTTAAACGTGAACACTGACAACGTCTTCCTCGGGCAGAGTTCACAAACGTTCAGATTACCATACGAATACGTTGTGTGGCTGAACAAGACGCTTGGTAGACACAATCGTTACTGAACACCTCGCTCCCACTATTCTTCATTTCGTGAACTTCATTTTGTAGGGTAGTTCTGGCTTCCAAAACTTTATAAGCCGCTATTCAACATTTTTGTTTTTCATCTGATGCGGCATTAAAGTTTTGGATTAGACCCGTTACGAAACCTAACCAGAATAACATAAGTTGATTTATTCTTGTTTTTCACTTGCAAAGACACTTGACCCAATCAATTCTTGTGCATTTTACGATAAAACAATTATTTTAATATCGTTCTATACCAATTCAAGTATCAAAATATTAATACTGTCATTATAAAATTGCCTATTTAACTGTAAAACATCGATTTTCGCCGACTATAGTCGGCCATGACATTCAGGTGCCACGCGAGACCTCGTATGACGTCATTCGCGGGAACAGACTTGAATAAAGTCGTGTACTATATTTAGAACATTTTGTTGACATGATTTTGATATTTTTATTCAAGATAATGTTTTTATTTATTTTCATTAATTTCTTAGTACTTAAATATGATTTTATTGAATATAAATGTCAGTAAATCACCCTTTTCAATATCTTTAAAAAAAGTAATTTATAAAAATATCGGAGGCACATGGGTTCATAAAGGTCAATCTCGTAATCACGTGATCAAACATTTTGGCAATATGGCGGCCAAGTGCCGAAATTTTTACCTGTCGGAAACTATTAGGTAGTTTATGTTTGTAATAAGATTTTTATTTGTCCATCCTTGGCTTATCAACAGATTATATGTAGTTTTATCAAGGTATGCTTCGCTATACTTCATGGCATGTTCGATGAATAAATACGAGCGTGTCAGATTCCTGGCACGATTATTGGTGGACTTTCCCTACGGGGTTATCTTCAGCGTTCACGTCATGTCATAGTATATAAACGTGCACGCTGAAGACCTTAAGCTATTTGTAGGGTAGTCCCAATCATTAACTTTGTTAACTTCAGTGTTGTTATATTTTTCTGGTCCTTCGGTCTCATTGAATCCAGCACTATTAAGTGTTTTGAATTGAGTACCGCTCAAGCCGGTGCTAGGGGGCGTGAGGGATGTTAAACGTATTCTTTATCCCTCATGTACAGACTCAATCAAACCGAGTTTGCAATTCTCTTGTAACTTTGTTATGATTAATGCTTCCGAGGGATCACTTTTTCCAGATTTTTGTTAACGGTTTAACGTGTTTTCATTTCCTGCTGATGTGCAGGTGTCTTGTGCAAAGCATATAACTAAAGTCAACTAATAATGAAACAATACCGAGTGTCAAGTTCAGTTTTTATTTTGGCTCAGTATACGTACTTATTATATTTTAATGAAAACAGTTTGTTTTAAATAAATAAAGATATGTGCAAAACAGTTGTATCTTATCTTGTTTGTCATTACTATTCACTCATGATTTAATGTCTGATGAAATAATGTTGATTATAATTGTACAGAGGAAACAGTTGTTGTTTTTTTAGTTTTAAATGTTGTTATTTGAACGTATAAATTGGGTGCATGGAAACAAAATGTTTCTTTTGAAATATTTATTTTGTATTTCAGGCGATTTCTCAAACAAAATACATTAAATGGTTCACAATAAATCCGGAAAAGGGATGCCGTTTGAATTATCAACTGCATGTTATCGATACACCAGGATTCGGTGATACACGTGGATTGAAAAGAGATCAGGAAATAATTGATCACATTCGTGCTCTTTTTCTCAGAAAGTGAGCCAAATGGTATCACTTTTATTGATGCAGTCTGCTTCCTGAATAAAGCACCAGATGCACGTCTTACACCTTTACAGACCTACATTTTTCAGCCAATTATGTCATTTTTTGGAAGAGACATAGAAAGCAATGTATGCTCTGTCATAACCTTTGCCGATGGCGGTACTCCGCCTGTCTTGGCTGCATTACAACATAGCGGACTTCCTTTTGGAAAACCATTTCCATTTAACAACTCTTGTCTATTACTCAAATCTGACGAGGATAAAGTTGAATCTGATTTTGATGTTTTCTTTTGGAATATGGGACAAAAAAGTTTCAATGTATTTTTTAACACTTTGATCAGCTTCAATCAAAAAGTCTAAAAATGTCTAATGATGTACTTCGTGAAAGGTTCTGCCTACAAGCTAATTTTCAAAATCTGAAGGACAGTCTTCTGCTTCTGATTCTGCTAAAGCCGGTGCTAGGGGCGTGGACGGTAACTTGCACTTTCCATTACCGTTCATGAACAGGCTCAATCAAACCGAGCCTGCAACATTTTCAATTTTGCCGTGTTGGGCTTTCTTTAGGGATTCTGTATTTATCTATTTGATGTGGGCCTTAAAATTTATAACTTTCTACAGCAAGAGAAAAGAATAATTCGAGAAAACAAGTCAATGATAGAAGAAAATCGACATTTTGAGTACGAAGTTGAAGAAACAAAACAGATTAAAATGTCAATTGCAAAAGGTGGCAATGACGTAAACTGTAAAAAGTGCAGTTTGAAATGTATGTGCCATGATAGTGAAGATAAACCAATGTGCAAGGTTATGAATACAGAGGGCTTTTGTGAAGTGTGTCCTGGAAAATGTCATGTCAAGATACACCAAAGAGAAGATTTTAGATATGAATATGTATATATAAAGGTAAAGAAAACCTGTGCTGACATGAAAGAGAAATATTGTGAAGCTGAAGGAAAGTTATTGACACATAAGGAGATTGTAGATAGAAATGAACAAAGGCTCGGAGAGAAAAATGTAACGAACGGCTAAAAGAAATTGCTTTGAGACCCGACCCCATAACAGTGCAAGAATTTATTGATTTGTTGATCGGAGGAGAGGAAATGTCGAGAAAAGATGGTTATTTGGAGAATATCAGCAATTTGAAAGAGCTTCGCGAATACGTTGATAACCCAATGCATTTTGAATCACGACAAGAAGATTCAAGCACGACAACTACCACTGTCAAAGAAAGTGGTAGTTCAATAGAACAAGCATTTCAACAGATAACTCTGCGTTTGAGAAGCTACATTCCAAATTATAAACAATAAACTTTAAATCTTCCAAACCAATTCTAGTTTTCTTACCAATATGTTCTGTTTTGACTTTGTAAAAGAACGTCTTTATCTATAGTACTAGTACTAAGGAAAAATGAAACATAACGTATCCTATATGTTGAACCAAGGTGGACGAGTAGTTAATGTTGCCGACTACAAAACATATCTCTCTCTTCGCTTAAGGTTCCAAACTGTCGGGTACTTTGGATTATTTCATGTGGAGAAGGTATCCAGCTAGCTAACAGGAAGACGGCGGTTCTGCCGTGTTGGGCTTTCTTTAGGGATTCTTATTTTCTCTATATTGTATCGCAACATCAGCGTTGTTTGTGCCATGTGAAAGTCACCCCGTATATTCAATCAGAGATGTTATATTTCCGATCCTTAAATCGTTCAGCACAACATTATTGTTGTGCTTGTGGTAATTTAGTTGTTTCTATTCGGCTATTTTCTTGTTGGGTGGTTCTAGTATTCCTTACTTGAATACTGTTGAATCACCCTTAGGATATGTGGCCTGCTTTTTAAATTTGTCTTTTGACGTATTATTTGTGATATGCAGGCTTCATAACCTCTGATCCCCTTTCAAAATTCCATTTTATTTAGTTCCGCCCATTGTTTGCTCGTTTAGGCCACACGCATTTTTTTATTTGGGGACCATGTGGCGCTTTCCATGGAATGGCACTTACGTGTCAAGGTTCCATGATTACCGCCATATGAATACATCTACGGATGTTTCAAAATTCCAAATTGTACCAGTTCATGTTAAATGTTGAGTTCTGCTTAAGCCGGTGCCAGGGGGCGTGGTCGGTAGCTGCAATTGACAGTAGGCTCATTCAAACCGAGCCTGCAACATTTTCCGTGTTGGGCTTTCTTTAAGGATTCGTGGACATTATTCAAGGTTTTCATTGATTGTATTTTTAAAACCAAACAAAAAAACATTTCAAAATGCATTCAAATTTCGTCATTGGTTTTCGTTTTATTATAATCAATTAAATATTTACCATTCAAATAAATAGTTCTTGAATGTTTAATATTCATCTACATATGCTTTTGACTTGAAAATTTGAATTGAAGTAGGGATATTCTACTCACTCAGGCTACGGCTTCTCTTTACCGTTTTGGTTTAAGTTTTGTGTGCAGCTTTTATTACATCTTCTTACCATATCAACAACTTATTATAGATAGATAAAGTCGTAAATTCGCTATTATAACTTAACATTTATACGCAATACTCTATAATGACTTCATAGCCATAATAATATTCAATACTTCACATATTCCTTGAAGCTCATACCTGAATGTTCCCTGACATGCATGTTGACTGAATTATTCCCTATTGCACACTTAAAATATCCAGTGCAAGACGTTATTTTGATTGAATTATAGCCCATTATGAATATTGACTTTCTTACTAAATTCCTACGCGCAGGATTAATTTTCAAAATAACTGACGGTAAAAGGAAAAAAAAAACATTACACATGTCTTTTGGATCGTTCCTGTAAGTCAGTTTCCAAGAGTCATAATTATGGCATGTATAACTGTGTATTTGTAAAATTTAAATTCATTTATCTAAAAAGCTGGTACTAGCCTGCAGAAAATAATTTGTATAGTCTTACTATATAGATTATTTGTCTTCAGCCTTGGGTCATATAATCTGTCCTAGATAATGTGTTTGGGCGAGAAAATATGAAAAGCAGTTTGTGAAATAAATAGTTAATTGTAATAAGATATCTTCTTGCATTAGCCTCTTGTTATTTTTTTCAAAACTTGTAAGCTGATCATAAGGCTAATCATTGAGAATTGTTGATAACCTTTTCTTTACCTTTTGATGTTAGTATACATGGCACGATAATATTATTAAGCTACATGCACGCCTATAGAGAATAATTTCATTTTGTAATGGAATTATATATTTAAGGGAAGTAATATTTTATAAGCCCAAAAACTTTTCCGTGTAAAATGGCATGCAGCTGGTCGTCTGTCCGTCTGTTAGCAGTTTGTTGTCGTGTCTGGTCTTATCTTTTGAACCGATACAAGAAAATTGAAACTACTTTGCAGAAATGTTAACTATAATGAGACAATGTGCAAAGCGCAGGTTAAAACTTTCTGAGGTCAAGTTCAGGATCACACTTTTGTATCATTTTCAAAATTTCGTGTTTGTTCTGTATCTTTTAAAGTGTTAAATTGTAACATTTTGGTTAAAATATTACTTATAATAGGACGGTGTGCAAACCACAAGTTCGGGCTTACTGAGATCGAAATTGGGCCGACCACAGGAAATACTTGGTTTATATATATATACTTTTTAGGAGTTTTTATGTCCGGTCTGTACCTTTTGATCATTTGGACGGAAATTGAAACTACATGGCAGAAATGTTTAACATAATGGGACGCTGTGCTCATTCAAAATCCTCATTTAAAATCCTTATATAAGTGTTTAGATTAAAAGGGATATTACGATGTATAGTTTCCTCCCAATATATATGTATTTTATCTCCCTTTATTCCCCAAAATCGATTACTTCATTTTCTTTTTCATATCAAACTTTATATTTTTAGATCGTTTTCTGTTAGATTACAATTATTAAGGAGATGATAGGTTTATATTATTTCATAATTTTGAAATAAAAATATCATACTAATTAAAACTGATATTAATTGAAATATGTAAATTCACTATATAACAGCAAGTTGTATATGATAATTATAAAATATTAAGTTTTAAAAGCAATTAAAACTTCGGACATGAATGATGTGTTGTTAATTAACAACGCTACATCTGTTTTGCCTTATTGTGCTCAGTCTTTGTCTAATTAAAAACTGATATGATCGAAGGTCAAATATGAAGTCGCTGTATCTGTATTATTATACATTACAACAAAACATATGGTCAAAGGAGGAAATACCAATATAATAAGTTGCAAAAAGTTTATCCAATGACTTCCACTGCTTTTTTAAATGTATGAATTTTAAAGGCTGTAAAAGGGGAGGTAATAAGACCACATTTTCATATGCCCAAAAATGTTATATTTCATATTTAAGCTTAGATATTTTTAAGAAGCATTGGCTTGTTGACATCTACAAAATTATACAAACCATGCTTCTGGGGTTTATATTGTCCATTACCTAGTGATCATTTAAAAAGGAAACTACGATGGTTAAGGAACTACCGGCCTATATGACTGAAATACTGTTTGGAAAAGGCGTAAAATGAAACAAACAAACTTACCTAAAGTTACAATGCCTTGATTTTAGTTATTTGGTATGTATCATTGTCTAAGAGAACCTGCTATAGTTACAAAAATTTCTCTGATATTAAAAATGGCTATTAACATAGAGGGGTAGTGGGTAGATTTCTTACAATTTACATGTAAAAAGGTTTATATCGTTAACAAGTCTTCAAAATCTTTTCCTGCAACCTACAACGTGCAGAGCATAGAAATTTAGCATGTAGCATCACAAATATTGACTTAATAAAAGTATTATCATCAGTTTTGTACAAAACATAAAGTGAATGTATGTGCGGATAGTAATGTTATGAATGTAAATGGAGGTAATATGAAAAGAAAAGTATATTTTAAGTCATAATATTTTGTGCTTTTGAATTCTGCTATAATATTACTTGTGCGTTTTTGATTTTTGTTGTTTTTTTAGCTCACCTGTCACAAAGCTTTTGTGATCGCTTTTCGTCCGTCGTCCGTCCGTAAAATTTTGCTTCAAATGACATCTCCTCATAAACCACTAAGCCAATTTCATCCAAACTTCACAGGAATGTTCCTTTGGTGGTCACCTTTAAAAATTTTTCAAAGGATTTTATTCCATGCAGAACTCTGGTTGCCATGGCAACCGAAAGAAAAAACTTTAAATAGGTAGAGCTTAGATATTTGGCATGAAACATCTTCTAATGAGTGTCTACCAAGTTTGTTCAAATAAAAGCCCTATGGTCAAAATTGGCCCCGCCCCAGGGGTCAGTGATTTTCCTTATATGCATATAGTAAAAACTTAAAAGATCTTCTTTTAAAGAACCAAAAGAGCTAGAGTTTAGATATTTAGCATGAAACATCTTCTAGTGAGTGTCTACCAAGTTTGTTCAAATAAAAGCCCTGGGGTCAAAACTGGCCCCGCCCCAGGGGTGTCATTGTTTTTAACTATATGTGTATAGTAAAACTTAAAAAATCTTCTTTAAAAAAAAAACAAAGAGCTAGAGCTTAGATATTTGGCATGAAACATCTTCTAATAAGTGTCTACCAAGAGTGTTCAAATAAAAGCCCTGGGGTCAAAATTGGCCCCGCCCCAGGGGGTCATTGATTTTTCCTATATGCATATAGTAAAAACTTAAAAAATCTTCTTTAAAGAACTCAAAGAGCTAGAGCTAAGATATTAAGCATGAAATATGTTCTAATGGGTGTCTACTAAGTTTGTTCAAATAAAAGCCCTGGGGTCAAAATTGGCTTTGCCCCGGGGGTCATTGATTTTCCTTATATGTGTATAGCAAAAACTTAAAAAATCTTCTTTGAAAAAATCCCAAATAGCTAGAGTTTAGATATTAAGCATGAAACATCTTCTAGTGAGTGTCTACAAAGTTTGTTCAAATTAAAGCCCTGGGGTCAAAATTGGCCCCGCCCCGGTGGTCATTGATTTCCTTATATGTGTATAGCAAAAACTTAAAAAACCTTCATTGAAAAAATCCCAAATAGCTAGAGTTTAGATATTAAGCATGAAACATCTTCTAGTGAGTGTCTACAAAGTTTGTTCAAATAAAAGCCCTGGGGTCAAAACTGGCCCCGCCCCAGGGGTGTCATTGTTTTTAACTATATGTGTATAGTAAAAACTTAAAAAATCTTCTTTTTTAAAAAACCCAATGAGCTAGGGCTTAGATGTTTAGCATCAAACATCTTCTTATGGGTGTCTACCAAGTTTGTTCAAATTAAAGCCCTTGGGTTAAAATTAACCCTGCCGGGGGGGGGGGGGGAGAAGGTCATTGTTTTTCCTTATATGTGTATAGCAAAAACTTAACATCATGAAACATCTTCTAATGGGTGTCTTAATTCCAAGTTTGTTCAAATAAAAGCCCTGGGGGTTAAACTGGCCCCGCTTCGGGGACCTATATACAGGTGAGCGACCTCAGGGCCATCATGGCCCTCTTGTTTGTTGTTGTTGTTGTTTTTCTTTTTCATTTTCATTTTAAAACTAGAATTATTGCTGTTTTCAGTCAGTATATAAACTATAATTACTGATTTCAAAATGTATAGGTCACCTTTTTGTTAAGCACGACATAATTTTTGTATACATGATATGTGGTACTTGTACTTCTAGTTTCTATTTGGCCTTTTTCAACTTTGGTGGTTCAAGTATTCCTACTTGAATACTGTATAATCACCTTTAGGATATGTTGTCTGCTTTTTAAATTTGTCTATTGACGTCTTGTCTGAGATATGTAGGCTTCTCAACTTCAGATCCCCTTACAAAATTTCATTTATTTAGTTCCGCCCATTGTTTTCTCGTTTAGGGCACACGCATTCTTTTACTTGGGGACCTTACACCGCTTTTCATGGAATGGCACTCCTGTGACACATTGAAGGTACCATGATTATCACCTTATGAACACATCTGCAACTGTTTCTTAATTCAAAATCTCACCGTTTCCGTGTTTAAATGTTGAATTCTGCGTAAGCCGGTGCTAGGGGTGTAGACGGTAACTTGCACTTTCCAGTACCGTCCATGAACAGACCGAGCCTATAACATTTTCAAATTTTAGTGTTGGGATTTCTTTAGGGATTCTGTTGTTGTTTTTTTCTCTATTTTTGGGGTAGATGATAACATTTAAGGACATGAATAGTAACAAGTCCGGGGTCTGTCCTCTCGGTGCCAGAAAGGGCGGATTGACCCTCATTAAGCCTAACATACATACAAACATGCATGCATGCATGAATACATTCAGACAGACAACTTGTCTTTCATATAAACTAAAATAATCATGTTTGATTTCTTTAATTTGTATGTCGATTTTCAAAAGAAGTGAAGCGAAAGGGCAAGATGTGGAGTGAAAGGTACGGTGTTCCGTTTTGACAATCGTGAATTTTTATTCAGTCTGTAGTCGCGATGCGCGATGGCACGATGGTGAAAACGCGATGGTACGATGGTGAAAACGCGATGGTACGGTGGTAAAAACGCGATGGTACGATGGTGAAAACGGGATGACACGATGATGAAAGCGCGATGGTACGATAGTAAAAAAAGGTGATGACACGATGGTGAAAGCGCGATGGTACGATGGTGAAAACGCGTTTATAACATCGCGTTTCCACCATCGTGCAATTGCGATTTCACCATCGTACCATCGTGTTTTAACCATCGTACCATCGTGTTTTCATCATCCTGTCATCGTACCATCGCGTTTTCACCATCGTGGATCGCGGGTAGGAACGAAATAAAAACGGAACACCGTAGAAAGGCCCGATGTTAAGCGCAAGGCGATGTTTTGTTGGCGTAACCCATAATGGTTATTCGCATTACATCGTATAGAGGAGAACCATTATCTAACGGTTCCGATGGTTTGAATGTTTTTAAGCATAGTTTACATGTGTATTTTTATACACGGGTATATATACCCGCGGCAGAGTATGAAAATCAGTTCTAGCGATATTTCTCTTACGAGATAATCTGCGGAAGATTTGGACAGAGTTGTAGAGGACAAGGTCAAGCCGTCCTCGGAAGAACATCAGGAGGGCATGCTGAAGATAATAGGCAGCCTTCTTGAAAAGATAAGAGGCAATTAAAGAAACAAATTTTCTAGTGTGATGATTAACAGTGAAAAAATAAGCGTAAAAGCAATTGAGAACAGTATATTTTTAATGCCAAAGTTATGTGAAAATTAGAAGACGCCGAAAATGACTCACAAGAAAAGAAATTAGAAGAGTGTAGAGCAAATATAGCAGAAGGTATTTTAAATTTTAATTAGAACAAATATCTTTAATACTTCTATTCTTTGCTCTCAATTTATACAAATAAATGTAAGCATATATGCGCCTAAAATCTGTAGAAGACACAGTTGTTGCACCTGTACGTAGGTTAAAAAATTGTGCAAATACAAAATGTAGATGAAAAAAGAGGCATCGGATACAGATAATATTATTCAGGTTGTTGAAAAAGGTTATATGTTACCTTTAAACGAAGAACTTCCAAGCGTACTTCTTAGAAATAACAGGTCTGCGAGGGATAATATCAAGTTTGTAGAAGAAGTAATAGGGTGTCTTTTAGAAAAGAAAGTTATATCTAGGTCTAAGGTTTAACCACAAGTAGTAAATCCCTTAAATGTTGTTTATAGCAAATCGGGAAAACCAAGATTAATACTCGACTGTAGACACACACATTTGTTTTACGTCAATTCAAAGTAAAATTTGAAAGTACATGTATATAGGTAGCAGAAAAAAATGTTTGAGAAAAATTCATTTTCGTTTTCATTTGACTTGAAAGGGACATATCATCACTGCACATACTTAGGGTTTTCATGGTGGCGATTGTTAAACAAATTGTTATTTTTTAAACTCTTTTCCACTTGGAATAAGTACTGCAGTACATATTTAAAAAAAGAATGTTAATGGTTGCTGTGTCCTTTCTAAGAAGTAAAGGTCATCAAGTCGTAATGTTTTAAGATGACAGTATTGGTTAACATGTCAATTATGATGTAGTTAAAAGATTAAGTGCTTGCGAGAACGACACATTGTTATTTCGGTTCTATTGGCAGACGAATAATGTAATTGACAGTCGACAAAAGAAAAGTTTGGATTGGCCATGTTCTTTTATATGTATGAAAAATGTTGTACCTAACAGATTCTAGAATAGATAATCTTGAAAAATCAATTGATTCTGTTTTTTATCAAATAAAATTCGGTAATTTAATATCCTTTATGTGAAAATTTTAGCATAAGTGGTACGAAAAATTATTTCTCTCCAAAATGTTATTGGGTAGAGAAATGTATAGATGTATTATGTCTAGAGCAAGTTGGAATACTCCAGTCAAGGTAAGTGAGCCAGCTATCGCTGAATTAAAATTCTGGCGAGAAAATGTAAGAAAATTAAACCAAAAAGAGAAAGATTTCAAAGATGTGTCAGTTTGTGGAGAAAGTATTTATGTGGATGCAAGTACGGAAGGATATGCCGGATTCAAACTTAATGAGCAAAGTGTGACATACAAAAGTAACAAGTTCCCACAGTTTACTGAGAAACAAGATAAAGAACTTGGTGACATCTATTCACAAGGTGAGGGATTTATGCTTCCCATATTAAGTTATATTCCGGATGTATATCAGATATATATACACATCAATTAGAGTTCCTGGAAAAGAATCTAGTTTCCGAATACACGTCGGAATTGAACATAAATGACAGTGGGCTTCAAGAAGTGAGCACAATCTCCGACTGTCTATCGAAAGTGTATACATGTAAAAGCAAACTTCCAATAGTGAGCATTAATTTTGAAAATATATTGCGCACAGATAGTAGTCAAGTGCTTCCGGAGAAGAGCGTTGATTGTATATCGGAATGTCATGAAAGTAAAGACAGGCTCTCGAAAATGAGCTAAGTTTCAAAATGTCTCGCGGAAGTGAGTCATGGCAGGTTCAAAGAATGAAGAAATAATGTTTAAGGCCCCCAGAAGAGGGCAAGGGTCTCACAGGTATACCTGATGTTGACAGGAAGGATATCATGGTAAGCAATTTGATTTAGAGAGTACGTTATATACCACAGAGAAATGGTAAATTTAGCAAAGTTTACAAATGTTTTACGCCAAACAGGCCAGGGAAGAGAGGAGTAATTGTGGAAACGGAATTTCAGATAATTGGTAAGTAGGACGATTTCGTAAGGGTTTTAAGTTCCACGTAGAGATAAACCGAACCTGTAAGTAGAGTGATTAAGAGTAACCCACATGTATTAAAAAATAAGCACATTGAAGTATAAAAATAATAATAATAAAAATGTTAAATCAATTTTATTAAACGGAAGTAAAATTCCAAGTTTTCAAAACACGGCCATAGATTTGGATATTTTTGTGAAAATGAAAGTATTTTCTTATGTCTGGAATGGATTCCTTGGGAACGCAATGAACTCGCAGATTATTTGAGCCGCTGTAAAGATTGTAATGATTGGGAAATACACGATAGTGTGTTCTCACGTATTGACCGTTCATGGGGGCTTCCTTCGCCTCTCACTTGAATAGTAAGTGTCTTAGATTTAATTCCCTTGATGGGTACAGGCGGTATAGATTCATTGTGCAAGAGCTGGAAAAAGAAAATTATTGGCTTGTTCTACCACCAAGATCAGTTGTGCACTGCATAAATAAGATTAATAGAGAACATATAAAATTTACATTGGTCCTGCCAAAATGAAAAAATGCTCACTTTTAACCCATGTTGATAAATTAAAACGAAAAATTCAATTTTTTTTGTAAACCAGGTTCTAAATTTGTACAGAACAAATGTTGTTGTCGGGAATGGTAATAATGCCACCTTTGACAATGAGCCATTAAAATTTGATATGATAGCTTAAAGAATAATTAGTTAGGTTATTATTATATATGGTAATATTTTTTCAGGTTTTGGATTAAAATCTATGCTGAAACGTAAAATGCAGGATGCCGGACTTTATGGCAGCAAAATGGATTCTATCGCTAGTAACATGGCACGCTATTTACTGCAGTCAGGTGCTGATGGTAAAACAACCAAATATAAAAACTGTTTAACTCTTTTTGAGGAATATTTTACTTTGCTTATATCACAACCCGCACAATCAATTATTGTAGCTATGTATTTGGTGAAATTATTGGATGAAGGAAAATCGTTTATTATCTGCATTTTATGCACTTGAATGGTGCATAGATTAAACAATCAGTCGGATCCTACTGACATTTACATTTACAAAATGTCTTAGAAACAGCGTAAAGAAATCGTTCTACATCAACTTCTAATAAAATTGTTGTTGATACCAAAATGTTAAAATCTTTATGTACTTTATACGAGAATTCCACACACATTTAGATTTTAGAGATTTAACAATGATTTTATGTTATGCCGGCTTTTATTAGGTTTGATGAATCTAATAATTTAATATGTAAAGATGTTGAATTCAAAGTAGATCACAATTCTTTAAAGATAAAAAAAATGAGACCGATATTTATAGATGGGGTAAAAAATAGTTTTAATAGCTAATTGTTGTTTGGTTGCATGCCCGTATTCAGTTTTACAAAGATATATGACAGCTGCACACCTGTCTGTTATTTCAGACAGTTACATGTTAAGCATGCCATTAGATCAAAGGGTTAATATCGTCACTTTTCAACCTTATTATACAAGGGCTAAAGAATGCAACGTAAAAAAGCTAAATTAGGAACACATTCATTAAGAGCGAGTGGTGCTACAATGGCCGAAAACGCATCCGGCGTTTCCGATATGTGTCTTAGATCATTGGAAGCCTTAAACATTACTACTGATCGATTATTTTGAAAAATTAAATGAATTACACCACAAGCGACAGTTTGCCGGGCGTGATTATCACCACTTAGTGCTTCAAAAGGGCATGACTGGTGACATGTCTGGGGTCTATACTCGACAGCGAATGCTGCAATTATTGCCATAAAAGAAATAAAATAAACCCTCATTATACATAGAATGCATACATACCTACATACTCTTACTGCAGTATATACTATTTTAGGAATATAAAAAGTTTGATTTATTTGACGACAAAAAGTGAAAAACGCATAGATTTCAAGCGTGTAAACAGAAGAAAAAAATGAATGGGTGTGTAACTGATTATATATAATTAATTCTTTAGTTAACAATACTTTATACATAAAGTTTTATATATAATATGTAAATTGATCAAATTTTGATTAAATTCTATATCTTATGCATTTATATTTTTAATTTACTTTGTATTTAATTTGTAACTATGATGTTTATTAAACATATATACATGTATTCACGATTTGATTTACAAATGTGAAGACGGAGACCCATTTTAAGGTAACTGTATAAAGCCAACGTTTACAGCTGTGAACTTCATAATTACAATGTATTACCCGATGTTACAGTCTAGTCATTGGAGAAATCACACCTCTCCAAAGTGTTGAGGATTGTTGCTGGCGGCATCAATTTTTGCGTATCAAATTGAAGTTACTGAATCTCTTTTGCAGCCTAAAATCATTTGAACTAGTCTACGGATGTTGTTATGCGCATGCTCCGCGTCAAAATAGGACTTTATTTAAAACAAGAGCCTCCGCCTGGCGATGGCAACGCTCAACTTTTGTTTTACTTTCTCTTAAAGCAAACATTAAAGAAAAATAAGTAGTTTTTCCTTTTTTCTAATTTAGATAGGTAGGTATAGTCACACTTGTTGTTATGTCCAAGTATGAATCATTGCCAAAATGTTCAATGGTTAATTTTACATATGAAATTGTAAAATCGTATTATAAAATTTCAACGTACATCGCGTTTTTTTAAGCTGTGACGTTGTGGTGTTTCTTATGACTATTTCAGGCGACACTACTGGATGGCATTTTATCAGAAATACTTTGCGATCAAATAGATAAAAAATCAAACTTTACTGAGGCATAAATTTAATGAAGACAACATGAAATTTATCAGAATTATAAACGAATTTCCGGTAATTCTGGATCATCCCTCGTATACCCATTGAATAATGTGTTTGTTTATAAGTTTGAATACTAAATATAATCAGTTACATAAAAACAAACGCATTTCTTTAGCTTTAGACGTTTTGTCTTCTTCAGAAAAAAATGACGTTTATAAAATCTTTATTTTTTATCTTTATCTTATTTTATTTATATATTTATTTATTTATTTCTAAGTTTGAATACATAATACATATATTGCATTGATAGTATTGTGTTTGTGTTTGCTTGTTATACTGGTTGTGTTAAATGATGCCTGTGGTACGGGTGTCTGTACACTAAGTCACTGATGTATGTCATACTGTAGTGTATGTGAACGTACATATCATTTTGGCTACACAATACATGTACATTACTTCATACTTACATATGTATGTCTAGGCTTTCCTGTAAAATATGCAAACGTAAGTCATAAAACCATTCTTATAAAGCGGAGTCCATACTTACATAAAATTGATAATCCATATTTGTAACAAGTAAAATGGTTTCCTGCGGGGAACATTTATAATGATTTAAAGATATTTCATTTAACTATTTTCAACATTGTTTAGGGAAAAAAATAGAAATAAAATAACGTTTGTATCAGGAATATAGTTGACAATAATCGATCAATAGAAGAAGGTCTTTGGTCTTGGTCGAAAATAAAACAATACAATGTATTTCTGTTTAAGAAAATGATTGAATACCTTTATGTATGAATAATTTCGTGCAAAATAAAATAAAATAAAGTAAAAACACAAGTTTACGCAGAAAATATCTCTATCTATTATGGCAGATGCCACAAACGAATGTTTTAATTCTGTGGATTTTCACTATAAACAATTTATTGTTTGTAAAATTTCAGATAGATATTAAAGAAACATTGATAATTTACAAACACATCATGCAAGTTTTTCAACCTTAAACGGTAAAATAATAATAGAAAATTAGAAATATCACGTAAGAGTGTTATGTTCTTAATTAGGTCTAATTCTGACTAATTCCCTAGCCATTGTGTACACCGGTCATTTAAGAGACCGGTGTGTCCTAGAGATAAATCCGTAACGGACCGGGAAACGGTATTTAGCTAGGTTTTCGAATAGGTCAATTAACCAATCATGTACGGTTTACAGATCACATGCTCCTCCATGTACCGAAAACAGGTCACGTGCTCCTCCATACCTCAAAAATTAAACGCGTACCAATACCCTGCGGGCTCCGGCCCGCAGGGAATAAATAAAAATAGCTTCAATTTTTTCCGGCATAAATTACCGTTAAAATATGCATTTTGTGTAAATCGGGAGTTTAGATGCGATGTAACTGAATTGGAAGGTAGACTAGATATATTGAAGATACTTGAATAAATGTAAAGGTATACCAAAATTACACTGGATTTAGAAAAAATGTGCACTAAGACATTAAGATACTTTGAAATAATAATACTGAATCTAATATTTGAACATTTAAGATTCAAATCAGGGCAAAAAATAACAGTTACTCCTTTACCATAATTATCTTTTACTTACGGCCTTGTTCGTCCTCCTATATTTAAAATTATTGTCATTAACGGCCTTTAAAATTATCTTTATTATATCTAACATTGTTATCGTATGATGTCTCTTTAAAATTACATACTATAAGAACATAGTAAAATTATGATTTATCAATATTGTTTGGTATAAATAAAGTATACACTGTTTATTTACAAATTAATACACATTAATGTTATGTTATTGAAAATAACAATTATTTCACAAACGTTTTATTCGTATAAAAATCATATATTGTTTGTATATATGTAATTTTACGTTTGAGGCTCTTTTAACCTGTTTTGAAGCGCTTCGTAGTTTGTATCTTGTGTAATGTTTGTGTATATATCTGCAACACTGTTATCAAACTGTTCGTAATTGACTTCTAATCTTCCGTAAGTATGTGAGTAATTGTTTTCTTCATGTAACTGTTCATATACGTCACCCGCTGCACCTTTATCGCCCGTTGCCTCTTTGTTTTCAAACTCTAAAACAGAAAGATTGAAAGTGGTTAACATGGTTTGTTTGTTTGTTTGTTTGTTTGTTTGTTTGTTTGTTTGTTTGTTTGTTTGTTCGTTTAAAAGTGCGCAAAAACAAGTTAGTAAACAAATTTATATATATATGCTCGTCGCCTCTTTGAATTCAATCTCTAAAACAATAAGATTGTACAGTGAAATGGTTGACATGTTTTATTTGTTGTTTTAGAATTATGCGTTTAAAAACAAGTTTATTTATAGGTAGATCTAAATGAAATGCTTTTAATATATAGATAGATTTAACCTACTATAATTATCTAGCTTATGACAGGTATCATATTAACCAACACAGCATCCGGTCTTTGCCGATTCTACGGTTTTAAGCAAACATATAAACCTGGTCTCTAAGATTTACCTTCATACTAAAGCGCTTACTTCTCAATTTAAAACATTTTTCAAAACTGCATGTATAGAGATTCTATAAACGATAATTTTTTTCTGTAACGTCAATTGTTTTTTTATTTGAATTTACAGGAAAACAAAACACAATTTGTCATTTTAAACACTTTAACGCTTTACCTGAGTGTGATAGCTGGTTATTAAGTCCAGACCCCTTTGCTGCATCACGCCTGTGAGTTCTTGACATTCTGTTGAGAAATAATGCTACTAGATCTTAACGCTTTCAATAGGTATTGATAATGATATCCCTTAACCTGCAGCATCTGAGTAATTGGTTTGCCCGGATTTGAATTCGAACAGATTATTTAAACATTAAGAGGCTTCAAATCAAAATGCAAAAACAGTGCTACCAACATAGCCTTGTCGGACTGCACACATGTTAAGACTGATCCGACTTTATAATGGTTACAAAGGCTAATCAGTTCAGGTTCCAGCCGGCTACAGGTACGAGTTATACTTAATTGCTTAGTTAAAATGGTTTGTACACCAAGAGAAAAAATATATTTCTTTAAAGAATTAATTGGGCATGATTTATAAAAGAAGTCCCTTTTCTTGTGTATTTTATTCAGATAAAAAACAGATATTCGCCGACACCAACTACTATTATATAAACTCGTATCAAGTTTATTCATGTAGATTTCCTACCTCTTTTTAATATGATCTTAACTGAACATATGATATACATGTTTATGATCTTAAAATGCATTATTATAACATTGTGAAAGGAAGAAGTTTATGTAATGAACGAGAAATGAATTTGTAAATATGGTCTTTTTCAGTATACCCACAAAATAAGACATAACATTGTTGTAATGAGAAATTGTATTGTGGAACAAAACATGTAATTTTTTTTTACCTCTTGTGCCTTTTTAATATAACAAAGATGCTAGCAACAATGAACGCTATGGCTGCAGAACTAACACCAACTCCTACTGCAACGAATGTATTTGAGGCATCTGAAGAAACTGATGAGTCTCCCATGTCTGATATATCATCAAACGCTGAAACATGTAATATAGATACTAGAGTATTCTATAAGATATATCTTTCTTTTATAAAAGATGTATTATATGTGAAGGTAAATTGGTGTCATGATTACAAGAAATGTGTTCAATTTTAAGATATAACTTCCTTTTATACAAAACGAATACCATATTGTTTGTTGTAGAAATTACTAGAAAATTCTTTAAAACTCGTTTGAGTATAAGATATCACTTTTCTTATAAACAAACTGCTGTATATGGAGTTTGATGTGCATAACATAAAAAAAAATATCTAAAATGTGTTTGAGATAAATGTATTCCAATCGATGTTCAGTGGGTTAACTAGGCGCCAGTCTGCCAGAGTAAAGATGATTATCGCTCAAATAGTTTTTCTCACAATGTTTTCAAGTAAATATTCAATTTATCAATTAAAGAATTCCTCTCGCTATTTACATAGTTCAATTTACATGGCCTGTAATGAGATTTACTAAACTTAAAACGTAACCAGTGATTGAAATATATAAAGGGAAATAGAAAGCGAGATCATGTTACCATGCTCGTACTTCGGTTACATTTTTTCCGGGGTTTACATATTGTGATGATAGGGAAAGTGTTTATCTTTTGACTAAAAACATCAAAATACTATCATTTGTTATTTGATTTTCTCTCGAGATACATTTCAGAAGACCTCGTGTTCCAATTCTTATTCTTTTAATAGGTGTGTCATGACTTTAAAAGTTACTGATTACAAAATTTAAAATCACATAAAAATTCTTCACTTTGACAAAATGTAATAACAACCTTGAGTTGTGTTGTCGTTTGTTGAATGCCCAAGGATACAAGATCCGTTATTTTTAAAGCATGTCTCGTTTATACAATCTTTACAACGATTTTGACATTTGTCACCATAGTAACCATATTGACATTCTTGTATACAACTTCCATCGGAGTCATTACACTTCAAACCGTCTTCATCTGGTAAACATGTAGTCTCACAAATCATGCCACACTGGTCACCATAGAAATTGTTCTTACATCCGTTTGTACATAACCCTGATTCGCGGTCACATTTACTATGCTTGCAGTTAGAAGGACATGTATGATTGCAAGTATCTCCCCATAGACCTAACTTACAATCATTTGAACAGTGTCCTGAATGTTGTTTGCAATCAGAGTCCAAGCAATTTTCAGGACACCGGTGTTGGCAAGTTTCTCCCCAAAAGCCACTCTTGCAAGGGCCGCATTTTGTTTTTGAACAATTGTAACAATTGCCTGGGCATGCCTGACAAGGATTGCCAAAGAACCCTACATCGCAAGTGTCACACTTTCTTCCGGTGTATCCAATAATGCAGTTTTTTGTACAGTACCCGGTATATTGATCGCATATATTCCCTGAACATGTTTTACTACACATCATTTTACAGTCATACCCCCAATATCCATCACGGCATCCGGTTACACATCGGCCGGTACCTTTATTGCAAATATTGCGGTAACAGTTTGGACTACATTTTTGAGAACATTGACTTCCATGATATCCGTCTGTACATTCATGGCAAATTATGCCCCCAATGCATTCTTTACATTTGCTGTTGCAAATGCACATAACATATCCTGAAATTGAAATAAGCATTATTATGCTTGCTTAAATACTGTTCTGCAAAAAAAAGTTTTTCTATAAAATGGATGCTACAGAAATAAGTAATAAGGAAAATCAAAACAATTCTCAAATATTTACAAAGTGAACAAAGCTATTTAAAGCTAATGAAAAATAATAATTTGATTAATATGCTAACATTACGATAAAAATATGTAATTTTAAGAATGTCACTTTGTGTTTTAATTAATAAAATTTTACAATAAGACGCGATATCCCAGGGAGTAAATCAAACATGTTGTTTTGAAGACATTGAAACATTTCACCTTACTTACTTTTCTAACCAATAACTTTAAATTTCATATCGCTAATAGCTTAGATAAAATAAATTCAAAAATGAAAACCAAAACCTATAACAATAAGCAAAATGAATAGCAATGATAATATAGCAAACAATGATCCCAAATATACACAGACATAAAATTTATGCATCAATTAAATGTTAATCATAAATGTTTCTAGATATTTCCGTTAATAAAACTAAAAGAACAATTCTTACCGAATGACATTAAAAGCAATAAAAACAAGCATAACAGCCGTATCATCGTGATAGTGTTTTACAAGACTAAGATCAAAGTCATATCAACAGATTTAACTAAAACTAGGATAACTAATTACTATATTTAACACTTAGTAGAATCCATAAGGTTTGGCCATGTTTACATGATAATTACTCATATTTGAATGAGTTTCGTTTTCGAGATAATATCTTATGACAGTATCAAAATCTGATATCTTATAGAAAGTAACAATGACTTTTAAGTGAAATGAAACGTTTTAACAGTGGATCAAAGTCAAGATTCGGAAACGTGATATTCGTTTGCACTACATACACATCTATGTCACTTCCGGAAAACTTGAAACATCATCACAATTACCAACAATAATGATACAGTGCAACTTCTGCAGAGCCATCCTTTATGGACTAAAACAGTATCAATTTTTACCAAACTAAACATTCACAACAATATCTCTCAAACCTCTCAGCAAATATTAAAATATTTGAGCCGCGCCATGACAAAACCAACATAATGTGTTTGCGACCAGCGTGGATCCAGACCAGCCTGCGCCTCCTGCGGACGCGCAGGCTGGTCTTGATCCATTCTGGTCGCAAACGCATTTCGTTGGTTTTGTCAAGACGCGGCTAAAATATTTGTCACTAAAGTGGCAGGAGTCTCTACAGTGAGTAACGTCCACTAGTATTGTGTTGATGTCTTTTATGACCTTTTCAGAATATATTATTTTATACAACGGAATCAAGCAATGACATTAAAAGTATTACGCCTCTAATTGAAATTAAAATATACAGACAAAACGAAATTGTCCGGCAATATTGCTTTATCATCTGACATTTATGAAATGTCAAGTTTAAGTAAACATTTTCATCACCTAGCGATTATCCAGTGTAGGAATTATACATACAAAATTGAAAACTCGAATGTGAGAAATGGCATTGAAAATTGTGATGTTTGGAAACTGTGCTGATATTGACATAATACAACAGTACTAGAGTTCGTATTTACAAATGAATCAATCAATCAATCAATCAATTAAATAATCAAGCAAGCAAGCATTAAAACATGTTTTACACGTCATTGGTGGTACTGTATGATTTTAAATGGTATAGATCACCGAGGACAGTTAAAATACAACCAGGAAGCTCTTTTGTCATGCCATACTTCAATGATCTTAGAAATGTTGCATGGTATCATAGAAGAAGAGATATTCATAAGTAGCTTTTGAATTTCATCTATTACGTTATTTCAACTTAATTTTGAGCAGTTCTACCTATTCACCTCTTCTAAACATCATCGGTATCATGAATTCTTCTTTCTATAACAAACAAAAACTTGCGTGTGCCCATAGTACACGGAGACGGTTTATATGACAGGGCCCTGGCTGGAAAAATCAACTCTTAACACAATTACCATTCCTTTAGTTTTGGAGCAGATTACTGTACATTTTATATATGTCTCATCGGCCGTTGTACAGTCACCTAATTTCGACTCAAAATTCATTTCTTTGGATGATTATTTGTGGGATTTCTCACCCTTTTGTGTATTTCAAATTTCTCCACAAGTGCATGAAAGGTTACATATCCGGGACCAAAATCGGATAGAAAAAGCGGCTTATATTTGTGCGTTTAAGGACGGATAGACCTTTATAAAACTCAACATAAAAGGAAACATAGCATTATTATTGACAAATATATTAGCCAAAAAGGTGTGTTTTGAGTCCAAATTAGGTCATTATACAGCACTATAACGTGCTTCAGTAATTCATTTTACGCAATTACAAGTTGGAAACTTTTGTACCAATGTAAGTAAGTACAATATGGATTTATCGTTCCCTGAAAACGAGGCTAGATACAGTGCAATAATCAAATGATATGAAATCTTTGGACTCGGAAAATGAAAAAGAAGTCAATTTGTCGCTTCAATTCTAATTTATACTTTGAGATAACAAGCTGACAACTCTGGTAGTTCATCGGTTACATTGTTTCATATTCTTGACAATAGCATTGTACTCCAAATATTATCTGTTATATTTTTACTAGCTTAAAATAGCTGGAATTTATTACTTCTATACAATATATCATTTCATAATCTCTAGATTGTTAAAACTGAAAAGATTAGTATGTATCTATATTCAATAACATCCGTAACAAAATAGTTCAACGTTTTAGTGTTTATAATGAGATTCATGTAATTATATAGTTAAATAAAATATTTTCTTCTTCTTCTCCTTCTTCTTCTTCATTTTATAAGGTATGTTATTAATTCAGCGCGGTTGACGATATACTAGTATACAAGACAATATAGTTTTAATGAGACAATGATCTTGCTGATCTGACATATGATCTTTCCCCCCTAACAATTAGGTTATAAACAATTGACAATTGAAAGTTAAATATTTCAGTAAAATCAAAAGAAAATGTGTTTTGAAATAATTTACTTGTTACATATTCAAAAACGTTAACGTCTTCTAATGAGTTTTGTTTTACAGGGAACTTTTTATTGTTCTATAGTTGCAGTCCACTCCAAAACTAACGGTTACTTGAAATAAGTCGTTGCGTTTCTTTATATATTCAATAGCGGCTTCTAAGGATCCATTTTCTATATACAGATCTTCAGTTCGCACTTCTACAGATTGAGATAATGCAGTAAGAGTGTCTGCAATTTCTTTCCAGCTATCCAGGCTTAACATCACCTTTTCAAAACTGATAATTTTTAGGTGATGTATATTACGTGTAAACTTTAAACAATTATCAGGAATGTTCACACTTTGAAAATGAAGAATTTCAAGGTTTCGTAATTCATTTAAAGATTCTCCAAACTCCATCCATGCCTTTTTAGCTAGTTTGATGTTTTGAAGTGAAACATGTTTCAGACACATTAAATTAGACGATAAATGCAAATAAGTTGTTTGGAAATCCATGTTCTTCAAGGATATATGTTCCAATTTACATAGATTGTGTAAACCTTCAACTAAATCATACATGCTTGTCAGGAAACAGATGATATTGTCCAAAGCTAATAGTTTAAGATGAGTTAAATTTGTCGGAAATCGAAAGGAGACATTCATGCTTTTCAAATACAGACTTTCAATCTGGTAGACTTCTTGAAGATCAGTTAGAAGCGTCGTTTTTACCTTTTCTGCAAGACGCATTGACGTTAATCTAAGACTTCTAATAGAAGGACATGTTTTGAGACTGCAAACGAACAGCTTCCATGTTGTTTCGTTCACTTGAATATCAGAAAACTCGACAGTTCTCAAGTTCTTCATATTAGTCATCAATATCTGATTCACCAAAATGAAAGTACAAGAAGACAAATTAAGATATTCTAAACATAGCGCTCTGCTTAACAAGCGTCCAATGTTGTCAAAGTTATTCATTCCTTTTAAACAACAGTTAATAAGGCTATCGGCATTTAGGTCTTGCAGTCGAAAATCATTGGAGTCAATATCAATATTCCTCAACATTGTATTGTCACATAATTTTATATCATGTATTCCACAGGAATCATCGTCACAACGAATTTCTTTCAGAGAAAGCTCCTGTAAATTTATACTGTTCTCTATGAGTGCAGACAAACGACACATGTAACTGTGAGATAATCTGATACATCTAATCTCTAATACTTGGAGCTGTGTGCATTCTGACGAAACAAGTTCGTAGTAAATAGGCAACTCTTCTTCAGCATCGGCCGTTATGGGATCTATTTTCGTGAAACGACGCAAAGACGGTGAACTTTTCCTTACAATGTAGCACAATATTTCGGCATCATTATCACTAAGGTGAATACTTGATCGAGAAAGGCCCCATATTTCACCGGCAATAGTTATTGTCATTATAGTGTGAGCTTTTATGTACTTAAGGAGAGGAATGTCAGATTTGTTTTGTATTAAAACATCCGCAAGGTACATGCACTCATCTTTTACACCCTTACTAGACTGAAATTCCTTAATACATCCGAATATAAGTTCTTGAATTTGAAAGACAATGTTATTTTCATACAAATTAGCGATTGTCTCTCTGTATTCCATGAATCGTTCATCTCTAACTACAATATCATATATGTACCTTGATACATGAGTTCCAAGTGTAGGGTTAAGTCCACAAATAAGCTCAATAACGTAATATTGTTCTAAAATATCCTCTACTGATTTCACAGTTTTAAAACACTCTGAAATAGTATGCATTGTGTCATTTCTCCCAATGTCATGTTCATGAGTTTGACATTCCATTACAATAAAAATTGCTGCTAATACCTCTTGAATAGATTTGTGAGTGAATGAAAATTGACTACTTCGACGTTTCGTTAGAGAAAAGGCTATATTCTGCTCCTCAGTTAAAATCCCCATTTCAAGGCAGCACTGAATAAAATCTTTTGATGCTCCATATTTTCTTAACACTGCTTGACTAAACGTGAGAGATGTTTCCTTTTGCTCGGAGAAAAGAGTATGGTATGCGACTTTTCCTGCTGTACTAATAATGAGTTTGTATTCTTCGCAAATTGAGTCTTCATCAAATGTTAGTGGAAGACTTATATCTTCCGAATCTAATGATCTTTCCCGAAACGTTTCAAATATCTTATCCTCAGCTTTCCTCTGTACAGACCATTCTAGGGACAACTCTAACATATTACAATAAATTTGACACCGTGAAGAGTGACATAATCTGTTTTCAAACCAAAGACAAACTAGCTGCTTCAGCATCACTGGAGATCGTATTATATCACAAAAAGGTGTTTTGTTTTGGTCACTTGATAGAACATATTTAGCTAAAAATCGGTTGACAGATTTTTTCTTTTCAAAATATGTATTCAAATGACTTACAATGTATGTAGCCATTTTAATTACAGATTTATATTCAATTCCACATAACCTTATTCTATTGTCCATCTCCGATTCCTTGATTTTAAGAACTTCTATTTTCCATGGTCTGGATGTAGTTATTATAGTGTAATGTTTTTTAATATCTCGTATAGGAAGTCCAATAGTCTGAGTTTGCGACATTTTGTGATCTTTCGGTGGTTTCCATTCATCCAGTCCATCAATAAGAATTAAACAATTTTCTGATTCACTTTCTAACACAGTATCTAGTAACTGGTCTTCATAATGAGTTTTTAACATTGTCTTGATGTCGCCTGTGTCAGTATTATGACGTAACGAAATATAGAACAAAAATTCATAACTTTTCATGATGTCATCATCTGACAACATTTCTTCGTTAACCATATGCTTTCTTTGATTTACAACAAAATTCTTTTGTTTTTCTACAGATTGAGACAAACACCATTTGTAAATCATGTTTTTGCAAAATGCACTTTTTCCCGATCCAGCATCTCCAATTATATAAATAAGCTTCAATTGTTTGCAATCTTTATAAAATATATCGTAAAAATCTTGGACTTTTCTTTCCCGATCCTTTCTTGTTGCAACATTATCAGCACTTTTAGTTTTTAGAGTGTAACTGTTGCTGTTTTCAAATTTCATCCATGGGGTGACATACAATTCGTTAATGGTGGCGTCATTCATTTCTGGATGAAGAGGTAAAGCAGATTCTTTCACAACGGTTTCCATATATAGGTCAATCAAGCGTTTCTTGAACTCTGAAATAAAAGAAGATAATGAAAAAATATTTTATTTTATACTATAAGCAGTTAAAATGGATTTAAAAATACCATTTTGTTGTGTGTGTTTTTTAACTTTTTTAAATAAATATAAAATGATTTCTCAATAATCAATTATAAAGAATTTACCTTGTTTACTTAAGTCATAATCTGCATGTTTATGAAGACAAGCTTCCACATCTTCCAAACAGGTTGATTCTTTTTTATTCTCACACTATGATAGACAAACGTGAAAATAAAATTAAAAAAAAAATAATAATAAGAAAATGATAATAAGAAGCAAACACATCTTTTTGTGAATAAAAACGTAAGATATTAAACATCCTACGCAAATTAATTTGTTTGGTATCTCCTTTTCGTCGCTTTGCCAAACTCACCAACTTATATAAAAACATATCCAAAGTTTTCATATTTGTTATCATAAGAACAAACGTTTCTGTAAATAATAATTATTGTTAGCATTTTTTAGTCTATCCTCGATACAATTAAAAACATATATATCATTTTACCTTTCTTTCATGGTGTGTTGTGAATGATATACACTGGTCATCATGACTAACGACTTTCGAAAACGATCGCGTTGTTTGTTTCTGTTCCGCAACTGTTCCTAGAAATGATTTTGAGATTTCCTTTTCTTTAGCGGACAACTGTAGGTTAATTTCCTCAACTTTTTTATCCAGCTGAATCAAATGTTTACTCAACATGTCATTCTGTGCGGTTCGCATTTCTTTTATGGCTTCAATTTTGGAAATTTTCAAATCATTTGTCGCTGTCGAGATATACTTGACGATTCTGTTTTCGTGTTCTTTAGCTGTCTCTTCGATAGTTCCTTTCAGTTCAGAAGTCTTCACACTTAATTCAGATGTGTGTTTATTTAGAATATCGTCTCGGATGGTCTGTATCTGATCTATGACATCTGACTTTGACTGTGTAATATCATTGTCAATGTTTTGTTTCTTTTTCTCGATTTCGGTCATTGCTTCTGTTGCATAGGCTTTTAATTTCTGCACACTTTCATCTGTTTCTTTTGTCAAAGTACTTCGCATTTCTTGGATTATCTCCATTTCGTTTTCAGTTGTAATTACAAAATCTTTATTCTTCAGCTTTAATAAACAAAAGGATGGATAATTAGATACAAGTTTCTGGGAAAGATCTTATACAAGTGACTTCTATAATATGTATACAGTTAACGAATATTATCACAACGAAAATCAAAGCATATCTACTGCGGTGTCTTTCATAGCAGTTATTCTTGAAAACTGTTTTTATTATCATTATTTCATTTACTGGCTTATTTTTATTGCTAACTATCAAATATATCTGTACATACATTGTACCGATATTAGAAGTTAAATTTCACAAATCGTATTTATGTAAAAATTCAACTAATTCACGAAAGATTAATTCTTAAGATGTGAGATCAATACAATAATTTAATGTTTGCTTTGATTGTATATTTTACATATTTTATTTCATGCAGCTAAAAGCGTGTAACTGGTATGTCTAAAGTTATATTAGAGGTTTAATGTAAGCACAATGATGTATTAAAATCCACGAGGGAATTAATATGTCCGAGGCGCTATTTTTGCATACAAGTATACGTCTAATTCTTATCTCGGGACTTGTTATCTGTTTTTGTTTGAAGAAACCATTTTGCCATTCTTTTCGAAACCATTTTGTCATTCTTTTCACGTACTAACGCGCGGCCAGTTGACAATTATGTTTTAATACATCGTCATTGCATTGAGCTATTTTAACATGACGCCTTATCTCAAACGGATTAAAAATTGTGCAACAACGGTGTGTGTTTACGTGCTTTTATCCGTATATGTATATTTTCTTCTCCGTGGATGTATGCCTCCATGCGCAACATTTTGCCAAAATTAATATATGTTTTTATTGATGTTTTTGCACGTACTTATTGACTTGTGTTGCTTAAAATTTATTTATTTTACTTAAATTTTTTTACTTGGAATAAAGAGTTTTGTTCTCTTCAGAAGCTTCTTGAACCTTTATTATCCATAATTTGATAATAAACCATAGTACGATAATAAAAATATAAGTTATTCGAGTCATTGGATTCACTTCTTGTTATGATATAAAATAGAATAGTCACTTACCTCCGTCAATTTCCGTACTGCGTTTACAGATTCTGGTCTTAAGCAAAGTTCTTTAGGGTCTTGCAGAACTGCTATCATATCATCAATGTAACCATCAGCAGTATTGTCCTCAAGTTCCATGCTTGCTGAATGCTGAATTTCATTTCTATATTGTCGTGTCTGAAATATCATTTAACATTTAGTAAACAGTGACAGAAACCCCCCATGTCCAGCTAATGTAATTATAATACCGTGTGGATATAGCTGCTGAAAATATTACCCTATATCATCAGGCATTCATTTTCCAAGCAATCTTATTAGAGAAATCATTCTTTACCTGTCGCGAGCATATAAATGCACAAGAGCCAGGAATGCCTCGTTTAATCTATCAAGAAGAATTAGTTGATACAGCATATATAATGTATTTGCTTACAAATGTAAAATATGATAAGCAAGATCAACAAGGAAAGGCGGCGTTCAATAAGCTTACCTTACTGAATATATCCGAGCCAGTGATATTACATTTGAGATGTGAATGGAATCCTAAGTGGTTCACTACGATGTGGAGAAGTCCTGCACAATCTGTTTCGTTTGCTGATGTGGTATGAGCATATCCCGGCGCATTTATAAAGCATTTGGCGATTTCCCATGGGCTCGAGCACCACAGGGTGGAATCAGTATTTCTCCAGTATGGAGTCGGAGGGGTCGAGGCATGCCGCAGAATTATTTGCTCGTAGATACCTCCACATATGTCATTTGGACAAGGGAGTTTTCCTCTTGGTTGTCGGCAGTTACAATCACTAACTACAAAAGGACAGTGATTCGATTTTGTTCGAACATGGTTTGGCATCAGAGTATTTATTTGGCATTGGTTACAATGTGAAGACATTGATTTGCTGGCTTTTCTCACTGTCATGAGAATAGCTTGATGTTGTTCATCTAAAATGTCCACGGTGAATTGCTCAAGACCCTCTTTTACATATTTCAAACCAAGTCCAGCTTTAACCCATGTCCGGTATTTTGGATTTTTAAGCTGCTTCTCGTGCGCCATGTTGTTCTACCGTTGACATTTAGCAATCAAGTTACCAGAGTATCTACTTTTGAAAGATCTTTATTTTACGTCATTTCGTCTGCAAAAGGATCATAAAAGAAAATTACAGTGACAATGTTTTCTTCTGTATCATCGTTCGAAACAATTTTTTTTCCTTTAACTATAAATTATATCATTTTAGACTATTTTTCATGTGTTGAAAAATTACGTAACTTAAAGCTCGTATCATAATTACCGGTATAATCAATTTTAATCATTAAGTGATTTTTTAAGAGTTTACCTTTCAAAACTACACCATTATACATGTACATGTGCATGTATTGATGTACTCCTATAATCACACATTACATTAATGCAATAATAAAACTCAATCTTTAAATCGCTACCAAGTGATAAAATGCACCACAATACGGCATAAGTTTGCTTATATTAATATATTTTATCTGTTAAATTAACTTATAAAAAAGAACAATATAATAAAGATTAGAATAAAGCAATCGAAAGATAACAGGTAGCTTATCGTAGTACTACCATGATAGAAGATGCTGATGCAATGTAAGCGAAGAAAGATCGAAGTATTTTCTAAAAATGAATGACGCATACAATGCCCGTAGATTATTGATTATGAACATATTCAATAAACAAAGACAGTATTTCCAATATTAACTTACTTTCGGTTTTATAAGTTCAGTATAAAATCCATTACTTTTTTCAAAATAAATGTGACGCATAAGAAATAAAGTATGGGGAATTCCCGATATCGATTGTTACTATTTTTACTTAAATATAAATTTAATATTTGTGCGCAATCACTGGAGCATTACAATCGCATTAATTTATACCGACTTAAACCTTCTAGATACATAAATGCATACCATAGTTATTTAAAAATGTAATTTTTCGAAAAAGAATTACCTTACCTTAGCATTGCAGCTGAACATTTCCTCTTAAAATCGCATGATTTACCGAATATTTGCGCGCGCATCTTAACAGATCTAGAAGCTGACTAATATACCACGCAATTAATCAAGGGTAACATATGTTAAAGCAAAATAAATATGCAGTTTGAGAACAATTATTCAGATCAGCATTCCATGAGAATATATCTCAAAACTATTAAAAAAAACTAGCAAATTACTAAGAATACATTTTGAAAGTTGTTTCTCTCGTTGTTGTGAAAGATATGACTTTACAATGTGGTATAAGAGAGGTAACTACGTTGCAATAACTATGCTAGGTAATGCAACAGTTATATGTACAATCACTTAACATATTAGACAAAACTTTCTTCAAAGATCTGTCTATGGAAATAATCGAAATGGATTTTCTCAAGTAAAAGGATTTTTTTTCAATATTATAAACAGCTTTATAATACGCAGGTCAAAACGCTTAGTTGTTTCCTTCAATATATGGTTTTTGGGGGCGCAAGCCCCCAATGTAATTACGATAAATTCAGCTTACTACCTCTTGAACGCATTTAGGCTATCTAGCTGCGCTGAGCAAAAATAGTTCCAATATTTTGCCATAATATTCAGATCATCATAATACCTTATCTAATTTAAAATTGACTGGTCATTTTATTACTTAATTTTAAATCCTTTTATCACAAAATTACAAATACCATTGCTTTACGCGATTTGAATATTACTACGCTAGCAGTCGATAAAAATTTAATGAGAACCAGTTTATTTGTTCTACCTTCTGGTTCCCGATGCATGAGAGCCAAAGTACTTGCATAAATTTGGTGTCAATTTTATCAAGTCATAAATTAACTAACTATCATAGAACACAATAATTCAGGAAGATGGAATACGATTTTCAAATTAGATAACTTTCAAGCTTAAAATGGTTAAAAAGTGTGAATGACAGAGTAAAAATTTGTATGCGTATGAATACGAACTATTTTCCCTCTGACGTCATTTTCCCGAAATCGCCATCTTGGTCAGTTATTCCGAGAAGAGAAAAGGTTGAGAAGATTTGCTATCAATTAGGAAGTCCCAGCTATTACGTTGATATTTTGGTTTCAATCTATTCCGTATGTATAATCAAGTTTTCTTCACAATCTGGTAAAGCTATTGATATATTTCGCTTGATAGACTGCAAATTTTAGTGCAGTGACAGCTCGGCACTAAAACGTACTCGGGGCCCCGAGTCAGCTCGGCCTTTTTTCAACTCAGTCCACTTGTTAATTTATTAACATATTGGGTTTTTTTATCACTTTTTATTGTTGAAACCACATAATTAATATCTGGACTTATTCAGAAACATGGAAAGATATTTTCTTAAATTAAGTATATATATTAATTATGGTAGGTAGAAGAAAAGGACTTGTTTCAAATAAGACTGCCAATAAGTCTGCCACAACTTCAAGTGTTCAATCTACAAATGAGAAAAGTAAATTATCTGATGTAAATTCGGAAGATTTGCACAAGTCACATGATCATAGTTATAGCATAGCTGATGAAAATTCCTGTTCAATATGTAAAATTGAAGTCATCAATGATGGTATTCAATGTGAACTGTGTGATGGATGGTACTGTATTAGTTGCTCAGGTTTGTCGTCAAGCTTTTATAAGGAATTAACAAAATCTAAAATCAGTGAAAACATAATATGGTATTGTGATGGGTGTAAGAAGGCAGTTCCAGGTGTACGGAAAGTGCTCCAAATTGTTAATAACTTAAAAGAATCACAGGACTCTATTAATCAAAGGTTAAGCAAAGTGGAGGGAAGATTAGACAAAATGCAAATGGAACAAAACTCTAACCTCTTAAATGAAATTAAAGTTGATCAGGCCATAATGGATTTCAAGGAGCGTGAAAAGAGAAAAAATAGTGCTATAGAATTTAGTCTCCCTGAAGCAGATGAAAGTTTTGAAGATTATGAAAATAGAGATCTTGAGAATGTTAAAAAGATGTGTGAATTGGCATCTGTTCAGCAAGGCATAAATATAATAAGGCTTGGTAAAAAAAAGTCAGGTCCTAGGCCCCGACCAAGGCCCCTTAAAGTAAGTTTTTCAAATGAAACTGAAAAACACAGATTTGTCACAAATGGTAAAATTGTCAAAAGAAATACTGAATTTAAGAATGTTATCATAACTCCAGACTATACCATGCGTCAGAGGGGAACAGAATAATTTAATGAAGGCCGAAGTTGCTAAACGTCGAGAGATAGATCCCTCCTTCACTTTTCGAAAACTTAAAGATGAACTCTTTAAAAGAAACACAGATATGACAGGAAGTCTTAATAACAATTCCTATACATCTGAAACTCAAACATTAATGCATAGTTCCCCTTTAGGGGAAGGCTCCAGCAGGAGTGTATTTGCATAGACAGTAATAAAAACAGTTCGTGTTTACATAGTTCAAGTTTTGTTAATGTTAATTTTTCTTCTTCTTTGAAACAAGTTTCTAGTACCTCAAGTAATGAGGTTGTATATAGTAAAAATGAATTTATCTTGAAGCATTCTGATTGCACTAATCATGATGTATCATTTGTTGTTAACAGTGTAAGTGCTATTCATGACACTTCTTCAAACATTTTATTAGATCATAAAATAGATTTAGATTTGTCTTCTGAAGTGGATACAGATTATAGTGGTAATAGTATGGACTCTTTTTCTTCAGATAGTGATATAACAGATTCTTCAAATTCATCACAAACTACTGTTTACTTTAGTGTAGAAAATATTGATGGTTTAAAATGCTTATATACCAATGCTGACAGTATAGCTAATAAATGGACAGAAATGGAAGCTCTTGTGTTTTACATCAGCCAGATGTTATTGGTTTAACGGAAGCTTTTTCTAAAACAGCAGATGTTATTGACTTGTTGAGTTATGATATTAAAGGATATCAGTTATTTTGCAATCCTAAATTTACTGACAAAGGTAACAGAGGAACCTTATTATTTATTCGCTTAGGTATAGGGGCATCTCTCTATGAAAGACTAAATGGCATTTCTTGTAAAGAAGCAGTATGGTGTGAAGTTGAAATTAATAAACATGAAAATATCTTAATTGGTATAGTATATAGATCTCCAAATTCATGTGATATAAATAACAAAGAATTAAATACTATGTTTTAGCTGTATAAAAGACAGTTTTCACAGTAGAATAGTTGTGATGGGTGACTTTAATTATCGTGAGATTGATTGGATCAACTGGATTTCGAATATGCCTGAAAATCATAGTAGTCATGAATTCATCGAAGCAGTACGTGATAGTTTTTTATATCAAATAGTGAATTTTCACAAAGATTTCGAAATGGCCAGAATCCTAGCACCTTGGACCTCATATTTACTAATGAAGAGTTTTTAATTGAAAAATTGGAACACTTTTTCCACCAGTTGGTAAAAAGTGATCATATACTGTTGACTTTTAACATTATATGTAATGTAGAGCAAATTGAAGAACCAAATAAATTGAACTTTATGTATGATAGAGGGTGATTACGCTTCCATAAATTTTGAAATGAGTTCAATCAATTGGAGTATTGAATTTCAGCACAAAAGTCTGGAGGATAAATGGTTAATTTTTAAAGAAAAAATTCAAAATAGTGTAAATAAACACATACCTAGAAGAAATTTTAAACGTGTGTTCAATAAACGGAGGCCCTTGTGGATGACAAATACAGCCTTGAAAGCTGTAAAGTGAAAACATAAATCATGGAATAGATATCAACAAACAAAAGAACTTAGATACTATTTGAACTATTGTAACAACTAACAATAGAAATATTGCAACAAAGGAATGTAGGAAAGCAAGGTCAGATTTTGAAAAGAAAAACTATCAGAAGAAGATAATCAAAAGGCTTTTTATAAATATGCAAACTCCCAAGAAGAAAGTAAAAAAAAGTGGTATTTCTCATTTAAAATGTTGAAAAAATGGCAGTTATACAAGAAAAGTGACCTAGATAAAGCTAATGAACCTTAATAAATTCTTCAAAAGTGTATTTTCAAATTGAAGATAACAACAATTCTTCCCAGATATTACAAATCGCAAGTGGTGGGAAATACAATTAAATGGACATTTATTTCAGTGGAGAAGTATTGACTAAGCTACTTGAGAATTTAAATGTTAATAAATTCTTGTGGTCCAGATTTTGCTTCACCCAAGGGTTTTTAAAAGAGCTTTGAGAACATCAAATTGTTTTCTCCTTTAACACTTATATTTACTGAATCTGTAGAAACGTGGAATATTGCCTATGGATTGGAAGAACTGGCGAACAACATTCAAAGCTTTATTTAAAAAACGGAAGTAAAAAAATTCCACCAGGAAATTATTTAGACCCAATTAGTTTGACATGGGTATACCCTGTTTAAATTGTTGGAAAAAATAAGTAAGGAGTAATATTGGTAAGACTACTTATGAATGTTAACAACTTTTTCTCTGCAGCCCAATTATGGTTTTAGATCGTTTAGATCAATGTGCCCCTTCAGTTACTAGAAAGTCTTTGGAAAAGTGGACAGATTGGTTTAGATTGAAGGCAGAGAAATTTTGATTGTTTTGTATTATGACTTTAAAAAAGCTTTGATATGGTTCCACTTCTAGACTAATACTTAAACTGCAAATCTTTTGGTAGGGTGGTTGCACTTTTATCATGGGATCAAAAGCATTCCTTACAAACAGAAACTCCAGTGTGTTGTTGTTACATAATAGTTAAATTCCTGACTATTGTAGTGTAACAAGTGGTTGTTTCCCCAGGGGAAAGTGTTTTAGGGACCCAATATTTGTTTCTTTATATTTCATTAATGACAATTGAAAAAGTCAAATTAAAAAGTTCCTTTGCGTCTCTTTGCGGACGACACCAATATAATTTAAACCTGGCAAATGTAAATGAAGACTTTTAACCCAAATACAAAATGAACAATTGATTAGTTTAATACAATTGGAGTGAGAAAAGTGGGGTTAATTGCAATTTAATGTAGACAAATGCTGTGGGTTTTCCATTATGGACAACAATTTAAACGGAACATCAATATTTTATGAAAAGTGACTTTTACAACTAAACCCAATTGAGGTCTAG